TATGAGTAAACAATTTAAAAATATTAAATACATTAAAAATGTATATATATATCTTATCCTAAATTATCATTTCAATAGTTAACTGTTACAAAAAAGCTTTGTGGGACATCACTTGGGTTGGGTCAACACAGGAAACAATCTAATGATCTCACCCTTGCAATAGGAAGATAATGTCATTAGTGCAGCACAAGGGGATTTTCCAGAGTCGCAGATGTAGCTTAGATTCAAACACTGATCTCATGTGGAAAACTTCTGCCCCTGCCTCTCGAACTGAGCCAATTTCATTAATCTCCCCTTTCCTGTCTTTTTTGCAGAGTATAAAGGGCCTGCTTCAAAGGTGAGTGACCTCTATGGATCTGTTACATTTAATGTGTTCACTAATATTTTCATGAGGAAGTGCTTGAATTGTTTTTGTGTCTGGGCTTTTGTTGTTTCAAGCAGGCAGCCACCGAAGTTCGAGAGGCAGGCACTGACACCACCCAGCCTGTGTGAGGGCCGCTTCGCCGGGCCCCTGCAGTACAGAGTGTGGAAGTCACTGAAGGGAAGCATCTATCCAGGTTTGGGAATGATCCTAAAAAATATATATTAAAAAAAATGCATTTTCACAGTATTATTATTATACATTTTATTTATGGACGCCTTACATGACACTAAAGGACACCTTAGAAACACAATAAAACTATCAACATTAAACAACAAATAATCATCATTACAGCCTGGTTAGAACTGAATACAAGCATAAAAGCAATCACATAAAAGATGGGTCTTAAGGCGAGATTTAAAAACAAGAAGACTTTCACTGTTTCGCACATCATATGGCAACAAGTTCAATAAATAAGGAGCTGCATGAGTCATGACTAAAGGCTTGGGACCCTTATAGAAGTTGTACGAGTTCGAGGGAGAACAAGAGTGAGTGCATAAGATGAGTGTAAAAAGTAGGAGTGTATGAGGAAGGTCAGATAAAAATGATGAGGCAAGATTATTGAGTGCCTTGTAAATTAGGAGGAGGATTTTAAAATCAATATGATATTTAACAGGGAGCCAATCCAAGTGTAATATGGGAGTAATGTGTTCAGTTAGAGGAGTTCTGCAAATAATTGTAGCAGCAGTATTCTGTAGCTGGAGTTTGTAGAAAAGCTTTAAAGGCAGACCCAAAAAAAAGAGCGTTACAGTAATCAATAAAGGAAGTGACTAAAGCATGAATAAGAATTGCAGTGCTCTTTACTGAGAGAACTGGACGAAGTCGATAAATTTTATGTGGAAATATGCTGAGCGAATGACACTGACAATAACATGTGCTTCGAATGATAAAGTACTGTCAAAGATGACACCCAAACTTTTAATCTGATTAGAAACAGACACCAGAAATCCAATTATCAATATTCACAGAGGAACATTTAGATTTGGCCAGATTGATTTTTGAACCAACAAGAAGAATTTCATTTTTACTTCTAAGTTTAAGAAAATTTGATGTAAACCAGGTAGGTAAAGTCATCGGCATAGCAGTGGAATTTAATACCAAATTTCCTAAAAATATTACCAAGGGGTAAAAGATAAATAATAAAATAAAAAACGACCCAAAACTGAGCCCTGCGGAACACCAGTATTGATGTACTAAGGCTTTGATCTAAACCGCTTCAACTTTACAAATCGAGTACGACCCGTAACATAAGATCGAAACCAAGTCAAGGGGGCACCAATGATTCCAATAGACTACAATCTAGAATCATTAAATGCAGTTAAGACTTATTTGATTAAATTTAACTGATTACTATATCCTGAACTAACATTTCTCTATTACATTGTTCTAGCTCCCTCAGCCATCACATTTAACTCCAAAACAGCCAACCCCTGGCTCAGTCTTACATCTTCGCTCACCTGTGTGCGCTACCAGACCTTCAACATCACGGTGCAGGACAACCCACAGCGCTTCAACGCCGCCCTGTCTCTCATGGGCAGTCAAGGGTTCACTAAAGGCCGCCACTACTGGGAGGTGGAGGTGTACAGCAGCACAGTGTGGACCGTAGGAGTCGCTCGTGAATCCGTCACGAGAAAAGGCGTCATCAATACCATGCCTGCCAACGGCTTCTGGACGCTCTCACTGTCGTATGGAGTTCAATACATGGCTGGGACGTCTCCACCAACATTACTGGCCTTGGAAGAGCCACTGGCGAGAATCGGCGTTTATCTGGACTTCAAAAGAGGGCTGGTGTCCTTCTACGATGCTGAGAACATGACACACCTCTACACCTTCAAGGACACCTTCACTGAGACCCTCTACCCTTATTTTAACCTGGGGTTCCTGGATAAAGTGCATGAAAATGAACCTCTTAAGGTGTTCCTACCTAAAATCTGAATTGATATGCTTTATTATTTTATATTTCATAATATTAATATTTCTTTTCTATATATAAACACTAGGCTGGACCTGGATATTTGAAGTTTTTTAAAATAAGAGAATATTGTTTTAAAGGCAAGCGAATTACAATTTCCACAATATATATATATATATATATATATATATATATATATATATTAAATGACACCATATTTTGCAAAAGCATTTATGTCAACATTAAAGTGGGTTAGTGGAGGCACATGTAAAATGAAACCAAATCTTTAAAAAATGGTTATAAACCATGGCTCATGACCCTTTCTCACTTTAATGCTTCTGTAAGCTATTTTATTTAGGACGACTAACAAGCATAAGATACCCTGACAGATATCACTGCCTTTGTATATACACATGTTTCTGTGATATTTTAGATTTTATAAAAAAAAGGGGTGAGTGAAGATTTGGCTGGTCAGGATAGTCCAGTCAGCCCCTGCTGGTAGATGCAGTAACTACACCCATCTGAGAACAAAAAGCATTTTTCTCCATCGACATTCATTCAAAATTATCAGTATATTTTGACTAAAAACTATTTTTTTGCAAGCAACATATCAAAATGATTTCAGTATATTACAGTATATATTTAACCAGTGACAGATTCTTTTCTGAAGGACATTAAAAGCATGAAAATGGACTATTCAAAAATAGCTATTTCCCCTATCTGCAGCCTTTAATGTCACAGCTCAATACTGTAAACAGCTAAATAGAGTCAGTGCAGGTTAGTGTAGCCAGTGCAAATACCACTTATATCAGCTTAAACCTAGGCTTCTATGCATAAAGAAACATGGTCCTACATATCCTGCTGAGAAAAAGAAACTATACAGATGTGAATAAATAAAAAACATCACATTTAGGCTATACAGTCGTAGGATAATGTGCACTAGTTATAATCTAAAATCTACAAGCCTAATGTTTTTATCTTTTTATATATATATATATATATATATATATATATATATATATATATACACACACAAACATGTACAATCTCTGGAAGAAATTCATTAAAAACCAACAACAAAGTGCATTGCTTAATTTTTACTGTCTGGTAAACATGAAACAAATTCTTTCCCACCTTGTTACTTTATATGATCGAGGCAGTTGCCTTTACTAACCACAAGGAGGTGATATTGTACTCTTGTTATGTTAAGCCAGGGGTGTCCAAACTGTATCTGTCCTGCAGAGTTTAGCTCCAGCCTGACCTGCCTGTAAGTTTCTAGTATGCCTATTAAGACCTTGATTTAGCTGGTTCGGGTGTGTTTAATTGGGATTTGAGCTAAATTTTGCAGGACACTGGCCCTCCAGGAACAGGATTGGACACCCCAGTGTTAATTCGACACAGAAAGGGAAAGGCATATCCACGCTCACTGTCTAGTTTTCTGGGAACAGCAATTAAACATAATTAGGCCTACGCTAAAGCTCTTGATTTCCACCTTTATAATTATTAGTCACAATGACCTAAGCAACAAGTGGCATGAGTCATGAAGTCCTTTAAACTTGCAATGAAAATTGATCTGGCTTTATTTTGCCCTGTGGGGTCCTACTTGAACAACTCAAGAATTAGCTATATTCAAGGTTATAAATGTGGTTAAAAAAAAACTATAATTACAGGGTGAAAAATTCAAAGTGTGGCATACGGCGTTAAATAATCAGCCTATACACGGCCGTTTGAAAAGAATGAGAAGAAATTTCTAAAATTAGACATTGTTTTTAAGGTAGTTCCGGATCTGGATGATGATACAAACAAAAATGTACGATATGAAGTTAGCCTAGTTTTATAAGTATCATAGATACACATAGATAAACAGACATTACTGTTGTGCGAGTCGCAACTACGAGGGAATATCTTCCAACGGAAGCAAAGCATTTAATGATGTTTACTGAAAAAAATTATAAAATAAAAATTATTCACAATTCAAAATTGTCATTAATATTTTTATTATGTATTAAATGTCCCATAAATGCAACAAATACACTTGAGGCCGTGCTATATTGAGCATGAAATGGCCTTTTTCCTACAGTAGTTTTTTTTTTTTTTTGCAGTCTATGGGCCTGACCAGCTGAAAAGTGTCCAGTCTGACAACTAAGGTTTTATCCAAGTTGGCTCACTGCAGACAGGCTATAATAGTTAAAAACTTAGCCTAGTAGCCTAGTTTCAAAAGATCATGATTCCTGGTAAAGGTTAACTCACACACTACTCACTGATGATCCTAGCTCATTTTATACACAAAGGCAAAAGAGCAATAAAAACCTTTAGTCATCTCAAATTGTTTATTAGTCACATTAACATTGTCTTTCAGTTCATTGGTTCAGATGGACAATTTCAAATGCCAAACAATTTAAGTCTAAGAGAAGGCTCTCATTGTTGCTTTACTTTATTCCTTGCAACTTGTGAGTGGGTAAAGTTGCACTAGATCTGTTTATACTAATATAATTTAAGTTTAGAAGTCTGAATAATCATGTACAACTCTCATGTAAGGAATAGTGCTAGAATTGGGGTTTTTTGTGTTTTTTTTACAAAAAATATAATCCTTGTAAGTATGATTGAATGATATTTTATACATTTCCAAACAATTACCCAGATGTGTGGCAATAAAAAAAGTGATTTTATTTTTATAATAAAAGAAACATCTAAAAGTCTTTAAGATGCTAGCCTTCGAGGAATGGAAGAGATCTCTGGGAGGCTAAAGTGCATCAGGGACATTTTGAATCCAATTCATCCTTCCTCCTTGACTTGTTGTCAACAAAGCTCTTCATACTAATAACATCTGCCAGTCTGATGTTCCATTTCCAATAGAGTTTTCAATGGATCCTTTGAAATACGACAATTTCTTTTTGCCATATCCCTACATCAAGATTGTCATCTCTGCTTTTTATAGCTGAAAGGCTACATATGGGGATGGCACCATTAGGACTTCCTCTTTGCATTCTGGAGGGGAGGGAGCAAGAGGCCAAGGGGGGCTTCAACAATACAGGTGCACAGGAGCTCTTCTGTCATGAAGAACTTACTTACTAGAGTGCAGGGTGTCCTGGAACTTGGTGCTTGTGTACCGAACATGGAAACCTTTCTTGTTGATGGTGTCGTCCGAGTGAAATTTGATGACAATGGCATCACCAGCTGAATAGATCTCCTCTGGTGGCTATAAAGGATAAAATTGAGACATAAATGTATAGATGTGTGCGCTTATGCTGGCTTAACAAAAATGTCAAGCTTACCCCAGACCCACAGTAGCGTCCCAGTCTGGGCGCTTTGACATCAGCGCCATCAAACAGCTCCATGTAATCATAGCCACAGTCAGCTTCCTCCTCAATCTCAAAGGTGTGGAAGATGAGCTCCACCCCATAGCCCTTCTCCGCTGAGATCACCCACTGGCAGTCTGAAGCTCCGGGATAGTTGTTGTCACCAAACTGAGCGTGGGAATACAGATCCTTGGTCTTTATCTCCGCCTTCAGACTACCGCCACACTCTGAGAACAAGAACAATTATCGGTAGCCAAAATCAAACGTTCATGGAGAACCTCAGGACCACTCAGAGAAAGAAATACCTGCTGAATGAGAGACCTTAAAACCCCTTTTCTGTACCGAGTTATCCGAGGAGAACCGCAGGAACATAGCGTTACCACTGGAAATGACCGGCGATGGCTTTTTGCCCCCACAAAAGCGTCCAAAACTGGTCGCTCTGCCATTTTGGCCATCATATATCTCCAAGTGGTCGTATGTACACTCCTGATGAGCCTCCATGTCAATCTCTTCAAAAGCCTATGGGAGAGAATACAATTCGGATTAATCACCACACAAACAGAGCTGGTGGAATTGTTTACTAGTGTATACTGTATCTTTAACCACTCATTTTGTCAGGCCGAATGATGCAAGTACAAGTTTAATGCGGTGGCCTGGGGTGGTGGATAGGGTCCACGTGCAGGCCTTCTTGCTGGGGTATTTATCAGGCCAGTTTGGACTTGTGATGATGCCGGACACACTGGTAATTGCTTGATCACAGCCCACTAAAAACACAAAACCAGGACATAGATGATTATTGTGAATCCTCAACTAAGGAAAGGATGCATAGAAAATATTAAAGCTTTTAATAAAATATTAAATATTAAATCTGTAAGCTAAATGAAATTTTATCTTGTCTGAATAGTTGTAAGTACTGAAAAATGTAGTTAGCAACGTAATCTGTTACATTACACATTTTTGGTAATGTAATCACACCACTCTGATTACTTTTAGATTACTTTTGACCTTACTTTTTGCCATAACTTGTTTATCAGATAGATTTGAAATGGATAATCTTGTACTATAGTGATATAACAATACAAAGAGAAAAACAATTGTTGAAAATTTGACATCAACAACAAAATGAAGTGCATTAAACATTACATTATGACAGTTAATAACTGAAAAAAAATATTACTGATATTAATTATATGCATGTACTGTATATATATATATATATATATATACATTCAGCACTTGCGGGTAATTTGGTAGAATGAAATGTCCTTATTCCTTTATATCCGCGGGACTCGCATGTGGCGCTGATATCTGTCTCTTATTAGCAATTGCGACCTGCTTCATCCACAGTCATGTTAAAAAACATGAATGTTTTGACTCATCCATAAACATTATTAGATCCATCAGCATGACAGCAAGTCCCATCATTACGCTTATCACTGCGTCATCAACCTACGCCTTTGTTATTGTAAGAGGTTAGCGACCCCTAGCGGCAAATTTTTTTTTTAACATATTGTAGCTTTATAGGTAATCGTAACTTCAGGTTTAAAGAGTTTACAAAAAGCAAATGGAAATGGGTTTTTTTTTTGTGTACTCAGGGCAGCCTTGGAGCAATAACGAAACGGCCTTCGCAAAAAACATTAATCTCTGCATCTGAGTGAGTTCAAAAAGAATATAGAGCTTTGAAGTATCTTCAAGACTTCATTTTGTCCAATTTATGCAAAATGAATGCCTCTAATACAAGAATGATTGGTAACGTGATGTAAAGACGAACCTTCTTTGCAGTCATGTTTATTGGTGTGCAACACAAAGCCGCTGCGACACTGACAGCTGTAGCTCCCAAACGTGTTAACACACTCATGCTGGCAACCTCCATTCTCCCTAGAACACTCATCCATGTCTGCCAGAGAAAAAGAGGAACTGTAGTTTATTCAGTAGTTTGTTGATTGACATAATACGACCAATTATATAAATAACAGTGAAAGACGAGTCTACAACATTCATGGAGGCTATTAAAGGAAACTTGACAGTTCCGTATTTCACCACAGACATCCATTGTAAGTACATTACTGTAAATGTATGCATTTACAAACCGAAGGACAGCTTGACATAAATTCTGGGTTAAGTGCAAGAACCTTTAGAAAGTATTCTTTAAAAGAGTCAGAAACTGTCAGAAAAGAAAGTCAAGACTGTCTGAAACTCATTTATATTGTTATATTGTTAGCTGACAAGACAAACGCAAATCATCAATTCTCATGCTCACCAGAAAAGAACTGAGCTTTGAAGCCTCTCTTGGACACAGTGTTGTCTGATTTGAACTCGACACGCATACTGTTGAGCTGGGACGTGATCGCCTCCGGTTTCTCTGTGCCACAGAACTTCCCATGAAGCTTGGCGTCAGTGGACAAACCACTGTGTACCTCAACATAATCATATTTACAAACCTGTAAACAGACAGACAACCAATGAATAGATTTTGCATTTTTTTAATAACTTTTTTTTTGCTCAAAATGAACAACATTTAAAAAACAAATAGATAATCAATCCTTCTTCCAAAACGTCTTCTTGTCTTACCCTGATTCATGGTAAGCCTATTAAATGTGTTAATATTTTAGACCTGTCAGGATGGTTTTCGCTGGAAATTGCATACATACGTTACTCGCCCAAGCGTGTCTCGTCTAAGGCTGACCCCTAATATTCGACTAAACCTTAGTTGACTACAAGAGGCTTAGTCGACCAAAATTGTTTAAAATTGATGTTAGTCGCAGAAAAAAGTCCACAGGAAGTGGCAAAGTCACACAGTCTGTAAGGGACAGATCGTAAACGACGGGTCCTTCTGGTAATTGTATGTTGGGCAGAAAATCCAAACATGTAAGTAGGCTAGTAGCAACTTTACATAACTCTTAACGTTAACCTAGATAAATGTGTATGATTATTAGGCTTTAGAGTGTGGAAGCTATAGTATAGCACTCAGCGGATAGGTTACTTGCCTCACAGTCATGAGAAGTATATACTGTAGAAAGTTTGAAATGTCTACTTTTAAACAAACCAATTCAAATAGAAAACAAATACTCTGTGATTATGTAATAATCACGCGTTCACTTTACTGTTGAGATGGCGAGTCAGCATCCTCAACTTCATCTTTGCAGTGGATACTGCCTCAGAAAACACAGTTTATTAACTCTTTCCCCGCCATTGACGGAATTTTTTTTTACTGTTATATGGTACAGGACGCCATTATAACTCTTCTGAAAGAGTACTGAATCTCCTGATCAAAACACGTGAAGAATATGCAGAAACAAGCAATATCATATGTAATCATATGCATATGTAAAATAACTTGATCACCAACATTAAAAAGCATATTTATCAAAACTGCCTAATGTTACTGAATGAAATGTGTCGACCCAGGACGAGCTACAAGACTGTGGAAGCATTAGGGGTGTTGATGGACTTGATCTACTACATCTGTGTTTTGATCATCGTTCTGAATCCCAGCTGGACAAAGTCTTTGACAATGTGATTTTCTCAGCTTTTTGCTCAAAATGTTGCTTTTTTTTAATGAAACTAACCCATATTCAAGTGTTGGTAAAAAGAATGCAGGAAGCTAGGATAAAACAGGTTGTGTTGTAAAAAGATAGAGGCTCTGTTCTTTCTTTTGATAAACTGCATGTTCAGATATTCAAACAATAAAATATTCTGGGGGCCATGAAACTTTTGTAAAAATGACCAAAAATGCCGGCGGTGGCTGGCAACTATAAAACAAAACAAAAAAACAACGCAGACAGGAAAAGAGTTAATAAATAATTAAAATGTCTCCTTGCTATTTTTCCCGACACATCCATAATCAATACTTTTTCTGGTGCTTCGCGGCAAGCTTTATGCCTCTGCTTGAGTGCTGAATAGGCTATATATTTGGCCCTAGTATATATTTATTTAAATTAGTATACCGTAAAACTTCAAATAATAGCCCGGGCTTTTAAAAAAAATAGGCTTTAGCGGGACAAAAATTTGCTTTGGCGACCGCCAAAAAGCGGACGATCTGACGGGTTTTATTAGATTAAATACAACTTGAAACTAAAAAACAGACCCGGCCTCTATTTGAGACCGGCCTTTATTTACCCAAACCTGCAGCCACACCAGGCGTGTAAAAGAGACAGGCGTCTATTTGGGACTCGGCTATTAGGGTGGAACGGTACACAGAAGTCACGGTTCGGTTCATACCTCGGTTCATACATCACGGTTCGGTACGATTTCGGTACAATGGAGGGAAAAGCAAAACAAAAATGCAGAAGGCATTGTATTTTTTAAATAAGTTTTATTAATAAAGGCATAAAACCAGTTTATTTGTAGTGCACTGATAATAGTTTTATATAATTAGTTTATTAATTAAATTAATAAAAAGACAAAAAGACCTTGCGATATGTTTGGTAATTGTACCTGAATTAATTTAAAATTAATTTGCTATATTTCAGATCAATATATTTGTTTTCCTTAATTTTAATTAACATTATTAATTAACAATGTAACATTATTCTCATCTGAATTATAAATAATTGATTTCTGTATAAAATAATACTACCATTAATAACGCATTAAATTTTCTTTTTTAATCAATGTAGAATGTGTAAGATTAGCGCTCCGAGGACGAGAAATGAAAACCAATGCGATGAATGTCCAAAAGATGGGACATTCAGACTGTTTTGAAATGGAGTTGGATAAATATGTTTTGCTTTTAAAACAGTGTGTGTGTGTGTGTGTGTGTGTGTGTGTGTGTGTGTGTGTGTGTGTGTGTGTGTGTGTGTGTGTGTGTGTGTGTGTGTGTGTGTGTGTGTGTGTGTGTGAGAGAGAGAGAGAGAGAGAGAGAGAGAGAGAGAGAGAGAGAGAGAGAGAGAGAGAGAGAGAGAGAGAGAGAGAGAGAGAGAGAGAGAGAGAGAGAGAGAGAGAGAGAGAGAGAGAGAGAGAGAGAGAGAGAGAGAGAGAGAGAGAGAGAGAGAGAGAGAGAGAGATTTTGGTTGGGTGACAGTTGTAGGTTACAGTTTGACAAGAGTTTACAGTGTGACAAAAGCACAATGTTGTGTTTTATTGCGAGTGTACACAAATATAAGTAAACACTTTGCAGGTTTAATGATCTGTATGAACAAAATGACGGAGTATGTTTTTTATGTTTTTCACTGTTCGATCGCGGCCGCGCCTCTCTCTCTCTCTCTCTCACACACACACACAAACACACACACTCCAGCATTGCAATCTTGACATCGCAGCCTCTTCATTATGTGGTCACACCAAACGCGAATAGAGCGTTAAATTCGCGTCTATCGCGTCTAGTTCGACGCTAGTCCAAAGCGAATAGGACGCGCGTATAAAGCCAACGTTTGAAGTGAACGCGCGTTCAGAGCTAAGCCGATGGTACAGATTATGTGTCCCTAAAGAACCCGCGTATCTAACAGTAGTTCCGCATTACATTAATTAATTTCCACGCGAGTTTTATTTATTTTTATACCGTGTATTCTCCGTGTAAATTCGTGCACTGAACCGTGACGCCCATACCGCTTCGGTTCGGTACGAATACATGTACCGTTCCACCCCTATCGGCTATTATTTAAAAGTTTACGGTAAACGTGTAATTAGTTAACTAATGGCATAAATAAACGACTACTAGTTAACTAGAAAAATCTTTAGTCGGGGGTAGCCCTAGTCTTGTCATTTCTGTAAATACAGAAAAGTTACATCAAAGTCAAAAGTCAACTTACATCGTTCCCCTCGGTCTCAAAAGTGTCAAAAAGCAGCGTGATGCGGTACTGCACAGGTGCAATGAGCTGCCACACACAGTTCTTGTTGGGCGGGTATTCCTGCGGCCATCCTGGACTAGTGAAGGAGCCGTTGAGTTTGGAGATGAATCCTCCACAGGCTGCTGCTGGGATCAGATAGAGAAGTCATTATTATATTGGCTTGATTGACTTAGACTTTGAGGCAAGCCAACATGCAAAGAGATACACATAACCCAGAATGTTAAACACAAATATTCTGACTAGCCAAACATCAAAGCTGGCCAAAGATCTAAAGCAACCTGAATGCAAGCATCACTAAACCAACTGTATGATACACATTATGGCTTTTAGATGCAAATAGCATGTAATCTAAATTCTCATCCGGAATTGTCACACGTTAAAAAACAAATACGACCTCATGGTTGTGTCAATCACGTTTACACACTGCCTCCGAAACTTTTGTCCGTCATAAAAAAATTCGGATCGAGTTCAATTTTATGCGTTTTCAGCATCCGTAGCAAGCATTTTGAGAGGTGTTTTGACAATTCAGAGCCACCGAATGACGAATCTGAAAAAAACGCATACGAAAATTTCGGAGGTTGAACCACGCGAGCAGACCATCTACGGGACAAGCCCAGCATATCTTTATGTACACAATGTTAATCTTTTACATTGTAATCCTTTTATTTGTAATATTTGGCTAGTTTGTGTGCTGCTGATCATCCCTTTGTGTGTATTAAGCAGAGTGTACGCGCATTGTGCACCTGCCTATAGGCACACATTACTAACGCGCTCTTTAAATGACAAAAAATATTGCGCCATTGACTTTAGACCAGGTTTTTGTTGGTCAATGGCGCAGTCTATTTCAGTTGCCTCAAAATAGCATTGCGCCAACAATGCGCCTGAACACACCTCGTTTTCAGAGCAGCACACCCATGGGCGCACCCATTTGCTATTTAAACAATGTAGCGCAGGATGTGGAAATAATAACTGCGTCGGGCTGAAACTAGCAAAAAACACTTGCTATTAGATTATCCTATTCAAATCAATGTGATAAACAGTAACTGGAATCAGTAACTCACTACAATTTGTAAGTAATCTATCCAGCACTGTTTGTCTTATAGAAGAAATGTAACTTCTGTTGACTAAGACTTCTGCTTAAATGTGAGGATCGTGGATATAACTAGGGTATTCTGCATGGTTTTCAGCACATTGCTGTGCGTTTTACATGAGCAGGTAATTGGAATCACCTGCGCAGCTTCGGCGGTCCGGGGCGAGCTCGTAACCAGGGTCGCAGGCGCAGTGGTAGCTGCCCAGGGTGTTGACACAGCGCTGCTCACAATGACCTTTATCAGGCCTGGAGCATTCGTCAATCTCTGCATTACAAGCAAAGTTCAAGGTCAGAAGGTCACAAAAGTAGGTAAAGAGGTCAATATGCAATTTAGGAGTGTCACCTTTAAAGAAATTAGCTGCAAATCCAGCTTTGTTCACAGAACCATCAGATACAAACTTCATCCACAGCTGGTTGGAGCTGCTTTTGACATCATCTGGCTTTTCGTATCCGCAGAAACGGCCCAGTAGAGGACTGCTCTCAGAATCACCGTCTCGCACTTCCAGGAAGTCATATGCACAGTTGTCATGTTTCTCAATCTGAGTGTGAAAGAGCAGCTCATGAGAAAAGGATTGTCATAGAAATGTTACCTATGACATCTCTCTGTCAGAAAAGTCAATGAGGAACAACACAAGAATGCTTCAGACTCTCATACTGCTAATAAGCACTTGTGGTGCCATGACAACAAGCTCAAGCCGCAGTAAATCACAGACATTTCATGGATTTATATTGTATTTGCTACTCATCAATGACTTTAACATTTTATGACATTTCCCAGTCTAGTTCCCCCTCTCTCCCATCATTTATTGTTCTCTCTGTACTTTCCTCCATAATAACACTTGTCAAAAAGTGTGCTTAATTGTACTGAATGTGCTTGTATAGTGTACTTCCAATCTTAAAATATATAAAATACTTTGTTACAATTTTAACAATAGTGTGTTATCCGATATTACATGCAAAATTAATATATTTTAAACATACTAAATTGCAACTTCATCATTACAAATATATTTAAATACATGACATAATATAATATAATATAATATTTTTTGTATATAAAGTGAAATACGATAGAGACATGGCTGATATTTATATTAGTAATAATCATAGGGACACATGGTGCACAAATTACAACATTTCCTGAGAAGGACCCACCTTGATATATGTATATTTTAGTGGTTTCAGACGCTCTGCTAAAGTGCTGTCTGAGGCTAGTTATAGAATACTGCATGACAATAACAAACAAAAAAAGCAAGACTCATGCACCCTACCTCAAACGACTGGAAGATGAGGCCCACATGAAACCCCTGGGATACGATGATCTTCCATGTGCAAACTTTATTAGGCCGATAGTCGTCAGGGTAATTGGGTGACTCGATCTGTCCACTGTCTCTTCTCACTTCACCTCCGCAAATAGCTGAAACCATGGATAGGACATCACACATTAGCATTACATCTGTCCAGATGGGCAGATGAGCCTCTCGGCTGATTGTCTTAAAATGGTTTTCCTCTTATTTGAAGGAAAGGTCTTTTTCAGTAAGGATTGAGGATTTGTCTTCCTCTGTAGTTCATATTGACTGTGGAGTTACTCAAGGCTCAATTTTGGGGCCTATTTTGTTTTCTTTATTTTTGTTGCCCTTAGGTCTCATCTTTAAAAGACACAGTGTGTCGTATCATCTTTATGCCGATGACATTCAGATTTACTTGCCCATTAAATCTGGAGGATCAACTCCTCATTCATCTTTGTTATTATGTCTTGAGGAGGTGAATTGATGGTTAGAACAAAATCGTCTCCAGCTAAATGCGACTAAATCTGAAGTTAACATTTTTGGGCCAAATCAAGGTGACTGAAACTTAACGGATGTTTTGGGTCCATGGTCAATAATTGTGCGACCCAAGATAAGGAATTTGGGTGTAATTTTTGACTCATCCTTAACATTCGCTGATCAGATAAAGGGTGTGGTAAAAAAAAAAATCACTCCGGAGAGGGAGAGAGGATTTTTCACGAGTGATGATATTACTGCGCCGAGTCAAAGTGCTCCCAAGCACTTGCTATGGTATTCCTCCATACATTATAGTTACACACTTAACACGCTTAGAAAAGCGCAATGTTTTATTTTGTGTCACCCTTCTTGGTCGAGTTACACTACTCGTGTAACTGTATTTAAATAGGGAAAACGGAGGTGTTTGGTCGCTTCTCTGTTTGGATCCTAATGAATGAACTGGGCTAAGCTAAGTGCTATCAAAGTTTCACCGCAAGACAGAGCGATTTAGTGCACGCACTGAGACGAGAGAGGTATGTATCAACTCGTCTTAGTTAAGGGAATAACAGTTTAATATGAAAAAATGCTGGAGTATCCCTTTAAGGACTATTGCACAAATGTAAACTTTTTTGTCTGCTGCTGATCTTGAGACAGTGATTCATGCATTTATTTCCTCCCGCTTGGATTATTGCAATGCAGTTTATTTGGGAGCAAGTCAATGTCTTATTTCAAAGTTGCAATTGGTCCAGAATGCGGCTGCAAGGTTCCTCACGAACACTAGAAAAAGGGAGCACATTACCCCAGTTTTGGTAATGAATATGTACATATGCATATTCATGTAGACCTCAACGATCACTTAATTGTTTACTTCTCGCAATTCTTAAAACTCTCTTTTAAAGCTTGGGCTTTTTCTGTTGTCCAAGACTGTGGAATACCCTTCCACCTGACATTAGATCGGCACCCTCAATTTCAAGAATTGAAAGCCATAGAAAACAAATGTTTTCTATCGAAATTTAAAAATATCAATTTTGTCATTTGTATTATGTTTTATGTGTATGTTATGCCTATTCCTCGCTGCTTTTTGTTGTTTTATTATTATTTGCTATCATCTGTAGACTGCTATTAAGCGTAAAGGCCTTTGGTCTACATTGTAGTCGAAAAGGGCTCTATAAATAAACGAGACTTGAGACCAATGGTCAGTGGACTTATACCTTCATAAACAGCAGAGAAACCTTTCCCCACCCAATTACTGCTGCTGCGGAATTCAATCCACAGTCGACTCTCAGTGGAGACGATGGCCTCGGGTAGCTGGTCTCCACAATAACGGCCTGAAGCAAAAGAACCAATTGATTAAAAAGTGATGGAGCTCAACTTACTTCCAAAATATCATGGACAGGGTTGACTGAATATTTAATTATTTGTTTCTTTCCAATAATCCTAAAGCCATTGAAACACATTTAATATTTAATTGGTCTCCTCTCCACCAGTAAGCTGGTGTGTGGTGGGCGTTCTGGGGCAATATGGCTGCCATCGCATCATCCAGGTGATGCTGCACATTGGTGGTGGTTGAGGAGATTCCCCCTTCCCTGTAAAGCGCTTTGAGTACCCAGAAAAGCGCTATATAAATGTAACGAATTATAATTATTAATTAATACAAAAAGAACACATAAATGATCTTAATAAATATGAGAACCTTTCAAAGGTGCTTTTCTCCAGAATCCATCACGGATCTCCACATGGTCGTACCAGCACAAGTGACTTCTGTACAGATCCATTGAGGTAAAATTAAGAATGATCTAACAAAGAGAAAGAAATACAGACAAAAGAGAGAAGTTGGGAGTCAGAAGAAGGTTATTTATACCACAGTTGACAAGTTTGAGGTCTGTAAGATTCTTGCAATGTCTTTAAATGTTTTTACCAAGGCTGCATTTACTTGATTAAAAAATACAGTAAAAACATTCATATTGTGAAATATGTTTTACAATTTAAAAGAATTGATTCCTATTTGAATACATTTTAAAATGTAATTTATTACTCCAGTCTTCAGTGTCACATGATCCTTCAGAAATCGTTCTAATATGCAGATTTGCTGCTAAATAAACATATGTTAACAATGTTGAAAACAGTTGTGCTGCTTAATATTTTTGAGGAAATCGTGATACTTTTTTTCAGGATACTTTAAAGCATACAAAGTTCAACAAGCATTATACTGAATTTTTATATATATATATATATATATATATAAATCTAATCTTTAGTAACATTATTAATGTTTTAACTGCCACTCTTGATCAACTTGCAGAATTAAAAACAATCTAACTGACCCCAAACCTTTGAACGATGGTGTATATTATAAGTTTAGATATAAATGCTTTCCCAAAGCTGTTTAAAAACAAGTACAATCTTTTATTAAAATATTTTTTATTTTCTTTATTTATTTGATTGTGTTTTGCGTGTAAAGCAAAGTAGAAATAAAATAATGTTTTACTGACTGAAAAATGTCTTTTCTATGTGAAGTTCTTCTACCTTTTCCCCAGGCGTGACCGATATCCTCCATATACAGTGAATATATGCAGCGTATCCGTTAGGGAACCCAGGGGAGGAGAAGTTTCCAGTGCTGTCCTGAAGGCTCTCACCACATCCTGTGCACAAACAGTCAAAACCACTCACAGATCATTGACCTTGAAACCGGATCCTCTTATTGGAAATCAGTAAGAGTTTTGCAGATGGTAAGGTCAGTTTTATGGATCATGCTTTTATTTTGAAGTAGGAAATCACCATAATTCCAGCTAAGATTAAAAAAGATGACTGCAAAAACAAATGTTCACTTATAGTGATTTCACTTATATCACTTATAGGGATAATTATACAGCGGTTTCATTCTCCCACTGTAAATGGATAATTAAACTGATGTCATAGTCGCAAATGAATCTGTCAAGAACAAGCCTAACTTTAGAAGAAAGTGCAGAAGGAAATCTAGAAACAGTACAAAAGTGCCTGGGATGTAGGGCTGCTCAATTATGGCAAAAAAAAAATTTGGTCAATATTGAAATCACACTTATTTAACATGATTATAGGTGGCCTATAATGATAATAAATTACTATGATAAAAGTAATTTATTTTAGATATCAGTCAAATGTATCACTTTCTATCACAATTATTGATATAAAAAAAAACAAAAAACCGACAAATAAATACAACAGAACAAAAATACAAAGTAAATAAACAGTGCTTTAAGTTAAGTTTTTCAGGAAGATGTAACAGTGGTATTCAGATAAGTAATAGTCTACAACAGAAACTGAATAAAGTAATCAAATGTAAAATAACACTGCATAGTCTTCACTGTATACATTAAACATAGATTCATCCTTATTAATACTACAAACGTTATTTATCCAAGAGCAGTGAGTGATTTTATATTTGAATTTTGAATTAACATTAATGACACAGACTAAAGCAGTAATATTGGGCTGCTGTCACTTTAAGACTGAATGCATGGATCCAATATACTGATACACGCACATTTTCTTTCTCAACCGTTTACATTCACTTAAGACATAACCAAGACATAATAATCATTTTACCTCAATTATCTTGTGTTCATAATCGTTCGAAGCCAAAATCGAAATCAATTACGATTAATTACACAATCCTACTGGGATGTGAAGGCCCACTTACTTGGACACTTGTATAATTTTCTTGCTTGAGCGATGTCCCCTTTGCTCAGTCTCGTCCGCTGTCCGATGGGAGGTCGGACTCCATCAACCTCGTACCTTGGCAGCATGGTGTCAAGATAGGTGCCTCTATTTTTCAGACATAAAAATAACTCCCCAATTATTCACAAGTGGATTCTCAGAAACCTTTGAGAGTATCTAAGATATAGCAGCAGGGAGAATGTACTGTAAACAAAAAAAAAGTTGTTTCATTTTAAAGTTAGTGTTCGTGCTGCCTTAGTTTTAAGTTTAGTCAACTTTAAAGATTTTAAGCCAGCACGAACCCATAAGTTGAAACAAATTTGTTTTTACAGTGTGCATCTAAAAATTAATCCAATCATATATTGAGACATTACATGTTATGAAACTGACAAATGACCCAAAGAGTTCATTCATGGTTGATTCATGATGAGACCAGAGTGACCCAAAAGTATTTGAACATTTAATTCACAATTTAAGGTGCAGTAAGTAATTTCTTACAAAGGCTGTTGAGAATTTAAATCAACACCCAAATAAACAATTTTGTGAATATTTGCTAGATGTCTGTTCTGTGTGTAGCAAAAAAATATTGTGTTTGTACATAGTCCTGACTTTGCCAACTAGCTGAAATAAAGTATAACATTATATTTTATTTCAGTTAACGTTTATTTTGTTTTGAATAACGAAAATGTTTTTTATGGTTTTAGTTTTATTTGATGATAATAACATTGCTTCAATATCACATGATCCTTCATAAATCATTCTAATATGCGGATTTAGTGCTCAAGAAACATTTGTTATTATATTTAAGTGTCTTAGGTGTCCAAATTCGTTTTGGGGCCACTGTACATGTTTATGACATCAGAGATCCAGCTTGCACTCCAACCAATGCCAATATTCCTAAATTAAAATATCTGCCTAACCCATGAAATATATTTGATTGACATTTGCCCAGTATATATAGGTTTTGGCTTGTGCTGTCTTCACTCTCTCCAGTTCCCATGATGACAGCACCCTGAATGGCCAGCATGCGGACGCTGAGCGGTCAGAGTAGAGTTTAATGCATTGTCTCCCTAGACTCCGACTCCCTGAAGCCCACCCTGCATGCCAGAGCACAACAGCACTCCAGCCTGGAAGGGCTTTATTTATTTTGGCCTAGTTCCAGGATCCCCTGACCGCAAAATGCTGGAGGTAAAACCGCACAATGTGAATATTCCTAGTTGAGAGGCCACAGGACAGGGGCCACTTTTCAAAACACTAAAAATAACAATCAGAGAGAAACCATGCCAGATTCCTATATTCAGACCGATCTGCTAGCGAATCACTCAGACCAGTTTGTAAATAGTTTTAACTGATTCATTAAAAAGAACCAACTAAAAAAAGCTCACAAGCACAACTTTTGTACTCCACACAAAGAGCAATAACTAGGTCAGCATTCAGCAAACTACAAAACAGAACAGTACCAATTCATTAAAAAAATACAAATAAAATAATTGACAAATTCCTTGACATTTATAGTTTTTTCATGACTGTGGGAACCCTGACTGAGTAATGTAGAATAATGTGACTTTTACAGAAGCTGACCACACCAACTTTGAATATGAATTATTTCTGTTTAAGACTACACCAGAATTACCCTCACTGTTTCCAAATTGTTTGCAGCTTTTAAACATGGTTAATTCAGAGAAGTTTTGTAAGACCCAAAAGAACTGACCAAAGGCTCCCTGTCTGGATTCCTTCCTCTTGTCCTAAACAACCGAGCAGCTGGCTGAATCTCCATCCTCAAGCCACTAACAACAGGTTAGTCAGCAGTCGCTGAGAGCGCCAAGACTTTAACACACCAACACATGCAATGATGTCCCTGTCATTTATAATTAGTGTAGAAATTAATATTTGTCTATTTTTATTTTTGTTTAAATAGTAACACTTTAAATAAGGTCTCATTTTGTTCACATTCATTTACATATTCGCTAGAATGAACTAACAATGACCAAAATAGCTGATAAAGCATTTATTAGTCTTTGTTAACATTAGTTAGTCAAAATCTAATTGTTTATTGTTTGTTCATGTTAGTTCACAGAGCATTAAAGGTCCCCTGACATGAAATTTTCACTTTCTGAGGTTTTTTAACATTAATATGAGTTCCCCTAGCCTGTATATGGTCCCCCAGTGGCTAGAAATTTCAATCGGTGTAAACCAAGCTTTGGCTATCTTTCTCTGCCTTTGAGAAAATGAAAGCTCAGACGAGCTGATCTTGAATCTCCTCTGTATGACATCATAAGGAGGAAAGGTAACCTCCCCTTTCTCTGCTTTGCCCGCCCAGAGAATTTGGCTCGCCCATGAGAAAATGAGCTAGGAAGTACGAACGCGTGAGCGCGATTTGAGTTTTTCCTGGAGAGATATCATGGCTTGCAAACGAGCGAAGCATGGCAGTTGATCAGTGTTCGGATGTACAAATGAACACAAAGGTATGCTTTAGTTCCTTCATCCGAGCCTCTGAAGAAACAATGGGTTAATTTTATTTTCTCTGGAAATGCGCCGACACAACTTCCCAAAGTTCACCAACGACTGTTTCCTCAACTTGGGCCAATACAGAGCTGGCCTCGATGAACGTCTGAAAATAAATCGATCGAGCTACCAAGCAACAATTCCTGATGTGTAGCCTAATTGTAGTTCAGACAGGTAATCATTCTCTCAAAATCGTTCAATACTGTTTATGCATAAGTCAAGCCAGTGACTAAAATATCAATTTCACATTGTTTCTTTTAGTAGGATGAAAATGATCTTATTTAAATTGCGAACAAATTATACAGAAAGCGATCAAAAAACAATCTTTCCACACATCGCGAGTTTATCTGGACAACTCGTTATGAAATCAATGACGCACGTTATACTGCTCAACGAAGCTCTTACTGTATGTACATCATCGTGTTTGCATTGGTGAAAGCATTAGAGAGAGTGCAGAAACTGTGTTGCAAAGATAAGATCTTCATTCTGGCGATCAACAGACTGTCATCTGCTCAATGCTCATCACGGCAACATTTTATGTGATGGGAATAGATCTAAATACTTAAACTTCTCACGATTCGTTAATCTCGATAGCTGTAATAGTAAAAACGTATAATAGCTGTAGTAAAAGTATTCAAGAGATTTTCACATGTAATACGTAGCTATTTCATATGCCAGCATGTCAGCCAATCACAGCATTGGCCGGTTACACTGCATCCCACAGCAGACACGCCCCTTCAAACAGAGTGTTCAAATCAGAGGCTTAAATCAGGCTAGGAAAATTGCCTTTTATTTCTAAATTATGACTATTTTTGATCTAAAAAACATACTAACACTATAAGGGCAACCCAGGAAACATTCTAAAATAATAAAATAACCCCATGTCAGGGGACTTTTAACAAATACAACTTTGTATTAGTAAATGTAGAAATAACCATTGACCAAGACTAATAAATGCTGTAGAAGTGTTGTTTATTGTTAGTTAAAGGGATAGTTCACCCAAAAATGAAAATTCTGTCATTAATCACTCACCCTCATGTCATTCCAAATCCGTAAGACCTTTGTTCATCTTCAGAACACAAGTTAAGATATTTTTTGATGAAATCTGAGAGCTTTCTGTCCCTCCATTGACAGCTAAGCAACTGACACTTTCAAAGTCCAGAAAGGTAGTAAAGACATTGTTAAAATAGTCCATGTGACTCCAGTGGTTCAAACTTAATTTTATAAAGTGTAAAAAAAAAAACCGACTTTATTCAACAATTTCCGATGCACGTTCACGAGAGCACTACGATGCATGCATGTGGTGCTGACGCAAGAGCCAGTGTTCGAACATAGAACCCAGAAGCGCTGCACTGAGTTTCCTCAGCTCTTCCGGGTTCTATGTCTGAAAACGGTCTCATGCGTCAGCACCACATGCATGTGTCGTGGTGCTCTCATGAACATGTACAAAGAGTGATTTAATTATGCCTTTTATTCACATATAAACATTCATCAACTCACACATAAGTTGTGGTAAATGGAAAACTCAAGCATGTTCGCTTGACGTGCGAGAACCAATGAGGTTCATTCTCGTGTTACGCAGCACATTTGAGCTTCAGCAAGAACCAATGAGGTTTGTTCTCGCACGTCAAGCATGTTTGGTTGAGCTTCTGTTTATGTTTGCTGATCAATGTTTAAATCTGAATTAAAAGCCTAAAGTCAATCTGTTCATCATATAAAGTGATCGAGTCTCTTCAGAAAATGTGGGAAAACCGTTCAATTCATATGGATTAGTTTTATGATTTCTTTATGAACTTTCTGAAGCGTGAAAGTCTCAGTTGTGTAGCTGTCAATGGAGGGACAGAAAGCTCTCAGATTTCATCAAAAAAGATTTTCATTTGTGTTCTGAAGATGAACGAAAGTCTTACGGGTTTGGAACGACGTGAGGGTGAGTAATTAATGACAGAATTTAGATTTTTGGGTAAACTAACCCTTTAACTAATGAAACCTTATTGTAAAGTTTTACCATTACATTTTTTGTAGAATAAATACTTCTTTATATTTCTTAATATATTTATAATTCTTTATAATAATGATTCTCCAATCAACACACAGAATATAATAAAAGTGTCAATGGGAGGCTGCATAATCAGACTGAAGTGGTGTTTAGCAGAAATGGTATTTATTTGTATGTTATATATTATCCAATTATCTCTAAAATAACAATATCTAGTGGTGTACAATTGCATTAAATTCTTATGAGTCAAAACCTGGAAAAGGTGTTTCTGGCGTAATGCATGATACTGTTAAAGTCGTAAACCTCCCCGAGCGAGTCCACATCATCTGGCTCCATCTTTTCGAAATTGTACTCCTGACCTGTAAAATGCAACATAGGCTCCATCACACAAACACTTCCACTGAATCCCATGCACGTATTATTCTGGATTTTAGATATAGTATAAGGCATAACAAGTTACAAGTAGCAACTATAAGCAAACAGAAGTATGAGATGTCATTCCAGTTAACCAGAGGCTTAGATAGTTCTTGTACCTGGCTGGATGTTTTCTCGAAATATATTAACATGTTCATCCCGGTCAGGTCGTGTGTGCTCGTGCCAGAATCCAATGACATGTCCGAGTTCATGCACCACGATGCCAAACTTGTCGCAGTTCTTCCCGATAGATATGGCCTGTGCACCTCCACCCCTCCGCCCGACAAATGAGCAGCACCTGCAAAGAAGCCAACTTGGGGTTAGAAAACACTATTGTACATATTTGGCAGAAGAATTCCTGAGTCAAACTAATGTTTGTATATTTACTTTCTTCTCTTCTCAGGTTAAGCTACTCTACCGTTTAAAAGACATTTCTATCATGACAATTCTTGGAGTGTTTAGCATGGTAATGGACAATGTTGATATGTTTGGTCTTGGCAGAATAGATCTGCTACGCTGCTGCTGCTGCTGTGAGCAAGACATGCTGTCGCTGTACAATATAGCATACATGAATTACCCATAGCAGATCTATACAGGTGGAGCTGGGGAAGGTGGAGGGTTTCTGAAAGCGCGCTGCAACTGCTACAGCAAATGCTGACCAGTCTTTGAAGGTTAAGCAGCAAGCTCATTGGCTACTGATACAGAGGGAACCAATCAGCTGTGCCCTATCAACAATGATGTGATTGCAAGCAGATTGAGTTAAAGAACTATGCGCCATCTAGAGTTTCATGACAGAACTTTCTATTTATAGTATTACAAAAGATTTTTATTTCAAATAAATTCTGTTCTTTTGAACTTTCTATTCATCAAATAATCCTGAAAAAAAAAAACGATCATGGTTTCCACCAGTTTTGGGTAAGTAACTTTAAAAAGGAAGTAATTACTAGCTACTAATTACATCTTCAACAGTGTTACTATTACATATTACTAATAACCAGTAGAACAATCTAAGGATAGACATGAAACTACTCATGTCTGCTTTTTGAATTCTTTCAAACAAATATAAAATTGCTATTTAAAGGGAGAAGGTTACATACAAAAAAACATACATTTTAACATTATACATTAAATTGTCATTGTTTTATATAGAATTGTTCAATAATCTATACAGTATTTGATGCAATTACATAATTAACTGTGATTAAATTACGGAAAAAATAAGAGTAATCACCTACTTTACTTTTTCAAGGGAAAAGTAATTCAAATACTGTAATTTATTACCTAGTAATGCATTACACACAACACTGGTTTCCACAAACATAATATTTAACAGTTGTTGCTTAATATATGAAATAAAAAACAAATGTTTCTTGAGCAGCACATCTGCATATTAGAATGATTTCTGAAGGATCATGTGACACTGAAGGCTGGAGCAATGATGCTGAAAATAAATTACGAATTAATTACATTTTGAAATATATCAAAATAGTAAACAATATAATATATAAAAAAAAATTCACCATATTAGTGTTTTACTGTATTTTTATACCAAATATATGCAGCATTAGTGAATGTAATGTAAGTGCTGTTTGTCTGAACAAACGAGCCAGGGCAGAAGATGTTTGAGAAAGCTGTTTGAAAACCATCGAGCATGACAACAAATAAGTTCATCCTTCAGCCTTTTGAGTTATTGTGAGACACACAGTGAGCTGAATGCAGCAAATTCTATAGTCTGTCAGACCTTGAGGTCAGGATCTGCCTCTGCAGAGAAGAAAAGGCTTTGTGTTGACTGATTCCAAAGCAAGGATGTTTTTGTCACAGGCGGCACATGGCCTGCTCTTTTGGGAACTGCGGTGGAGTGGCATGGCTGTTAGAGCCATGAAAACTTCAGCAAGGTCCATCTTTTTACTACACTCCGCGTCAATCATTCATTCAGTGCTATAAAAACAGTGTATATTTGTTGATCAAATAAGTGTAGCCTTGGTGAGCATAAGAGACTTATTTCAAAAACATTGAAAAAAAACTCTTACTGACCCCAAACTTTTGAACAATAGTGTATGGCTCAGGTCTAGGGGACCTTTTAACCTGTTTATAGCATGGGTTGTGTAAAAGGGGTCAGTGTAATATGGGCTTGTGTGTTGTTATCACTGTTATTGTCCTTGCTTCTCTGTATATAGCCTGTGCATAGTGTGTCTATATGTATTATGTGAAACATCTACCTACTTGGGGGTCTGCAGATGGAAATTAGCCTATGGCTATAATCTGGCATATTTACATTTGTGAAAAATGTTCATTAATATGTGTCCCTTTTGTCTTTTTTTCTACAAATAAAAAAAATAAAAATAAAATAATCATCTGCTAAGCAAAAAACAAAAATAAAATTTCTTAGGATTGTATAATAACATTAATACTATATTAAAATTATTGTATTATTATATTAATTCTATGCATGTATGTGTGGTCACTCTGAAAAGTAACAAAGCCATGTTTTTAATCACAATTGACCCTTAATTTACCTTCTTAATGGCAATTAAACAAACAATTGAATTATGTTAACCAATAGCCAAGCTATTTAGACATTGATTTTGCAAATACACATTCACACAGTTCTAGCTGCAATAGTGTCTAATTAGACAATAATGTATTTTTGTGTGTGTGTGTCGAATATCCTATAAAATGATTTGTGAATGGCAATTCACAGTGACTGCACTGCAGCAATGCATGCTGGGAGCCAGATTTGCTCTAGAAGAAAACTTGCTTGTGCACTTGTTGCCTATAGAAAATCAAATCAAGGAAACTGCTGTAATGATTGGAGCTTTGGGATGCTGGCAGGGAGGTGAGTTTCTGTGCATTGGGGACTGAGGGAGAAACTGGAATAGTCAATAAGGTGAGCAACAGTAGTCTCTCTACAAAGAAACTCAGAACATGAACTTACCCACATGACCGGATGGTAAAGACGATGTAACTCTCCTCCGTGCTCCTTTCCTTGAAGGTCACGCAAGTGTGTTTCTCCCAGTGACGCATGGCTTGCTTGAAAATGGCTCGCTGGCTGCCTGCAGGGCATTTGATTTAAATCAGTAAAGGACATCTAGATAGCACTTTGGGCACCAACTTACTAATGAAAAATTACAAAGGATAATAAGACTAACAAAATATTCCAATTTAGGATTAGTGTTAAGCTTACGGCGAAATAGAGCTTTTGTATGACGTTAAGTGCAGTTGGAAAAACTACATTACACTGGAACATTAGGACATTGGGGGAAAAAAACACATACTGTACAGGAGAATATGAAATAAAAAAACAAAACATGGGGCCTTACCGCTAAAGTTGCCACTAATAATATAGGGTATTATTCCATCCGGCCAAACTCTCTCAGGTCTGGCTGTGGCTGCTCTCCTTTTGCGTAAAAGGCTTCGATTGGCCAAAACTGGGTCCTTTGCACTGCTATTAGCTGAGGATCTGTTTGCTAGGGCAAAGACAATGCTTCAGACAAAATGTACTTGTCTACTTTACTAAGAATATTACATCAAGTTTATAAAGGCCTGATTGCACAAAATTAAGTATTGCGCATTAATTTAATAATGAGTGCTGGCTAGATCAATTATACATTACATGAGGAAAACTGTAGTCTGTAGTGTAATCAATTAGATTATACATTTTAGCATGGGTAATAAATCAGACTACATTTTGACCTAAAGAAAAAGCATTGCATATCTACTTTGTTATTAACAACATGAAATGCATTAAACATCACATTACATCATGGTTTCCAAAACTGAGCTTTGTGCAGGGTGTTCGTGAGTTGATGAAAAGATAATTAATTCAATCTTAATGATGTAAAATTAAAATAAATAATTTTATAATAACAACTATTAAAATAAAAGTAGTAAGTACTAAAAAATATTAAAAAATAAATTATGAAATATTTTATTTGTTAACCTGAATGGCAATTAACCATCAGGGAACCGTGCTGTTCAATTTTTAAATATTGGGCCCTATCATACACCCGCCGCAATGCATCACAATTGTTTTTTGCTAGTTTTCATTTTAAAGGGGTCATATAATGCCATTTTTGTACAAGCTAGTATGATTCTTTAGGGTCTAAATTAAAAGTTTGTAATATACTTTAATTAAAAATTCTCATTAGTATTGCAAGAAAACACTTATTTTACCTGGTCAAAAACAGCTCTGTTTTCAGCACGCCGTTTCAGTGCATATGACTTTAAATGATAATGAGCTTTGCTCACTCCGCCCCTCTGTTCTGTGCGTACACCGTTTGTAACACAATAACACAATAACCATAACGCGTTGTTCAGTATAAACGTGGGATTATGAATTATATTGAGAACATCATACATAGAAAACATGCCGCAATGTACCCTGAGTGTAAACCTTAGACGCATTCATTGTGAAGCGTGCAGCTAGCGATTTGCAAAGATTAATATAAATATTAATATAAAGTTTAATAAAACGTTACACTCACTTCAGTTGTTCTAGAGGTTCAGCAGGAACACGAATAGCTGGTACCGATCCTTTTTTCATGAGCAGCTTCTTAGCAAATCCAGCATTATACTGACCCTCTTTTATAAAGCAGTCCGCTGTGTGAAATGATTCGCGCAAACATGAAAGCATTGACGTTGCTCGTTTGGAATATTCCCTTCGAAAACAAACTCAGCCACTGCGTCTTCAGCGGTTCGGATTTAGGAACATTAAAATGACTGTGTTCGTTATTACACCCAAGAACAGAACACCACAATCGCTTAGACGCCATTCTGCTCATAGACAGTGCTCCAGCATATCAACAATGACCGCGCCTGTCCGCGCAGACTATGATTGACAGCTCGCTCACGAGCCAGGGCGGGTCTGTGTTGAAACGATGCTGTCAATCAACAATCGTGGGAGGGGCTTCCGAGCGTGTGACGTCACAAAATCGAACGGCTCAATTTGAGGCAGGGGAAAACATATAAGGAGATTAAAACAAAAACACTGGATGGATTTTTATCATTTTATGATGGTTGTGTACAGACACTGCCAACACACATTTCAGTACAATCAACTTGTAAAAGTGCATGTACCATTATATGACCCCTTTAACGTTCTGCGCCAGGTTGCATTTGCGCCTATTTGTGGGCCTGTGGACGTCAAAAGGAGGTGTGTTCGGGCGCATTATTGGCGCATTGCTATTTTGAGGCAACTGAAATAGACTGCGCCATTGGCCGACAAAAACCTGGTCTGATCTGTCTCAGTCACTACAATGGCCAAATTCTTCCAGGTTTATTTATTTTTTTCAGTTTTCCAGAGTCAATAATTAGTGAAGGTCACTGGATATGATTCACAGCTATACATCATGATTAAGAGTATTTTACAATGTAATATAATCTAATTACAAGTATAATATATATCTGATTACGTAATCCAGATTACATGTAATCAGTTACTACCCAGCACTGAATATCATTGCATGGTATAGCAGCAGTCTGTGCTTGGCAATGGCAACCATACTCACCTGAATCAGGTATAGGGAACTTAGAAGAGTCGCTCTCTGTAGCATCCATATAGTTCGCTTTAAGAAAGCGCAAGTCCTCCTCATCTAAGGCTATGTCCCCTAGAAAAGCAGCTAAACAAAGATGACAATAAATCACCGGCTGAATCACCATGATGAGAAGCAGCTTTCAGCCCAGTTTCAGGTTCTTGTTAGATGTTCACAGGCCCCCAAAACTAAATCTGTGCTCTGGGGTCACACCTGCAACTTGTACACCAGTCTCAACTCAGATTTTAATGGGATAACTCTCATACAGGCTGGTCAGATTGCAGGGAGATTTTGAAAAGGAACCACACACCAACGCCAACTTCCAGAAAAAGACTCCAGTGACTTTGCTCCAGGGCTTTGATCATTAACGCTACCATTCTGTATATAGTGCAGGTGCTGTGGCTTTAAAATGGAGGGATTTAAAAGGCACTTTACAAATCTGAATGAACGGGGATTTGTGTTACTTTTTCTAAAAACCTATTAGCAGCCTTTCAGCAGACACTTTTGCATTTTTCAGGGACAGTAATTCCCTCAAGGACAGCACAGTAATTGCAAGTTTGTGATTCTAGTAACTCTCCCGTGTCTGGAAAATCTGCTTTCTGTGTTAGTTTTCTTGTTTATTGGGGTTTTAATCCATTATATTCATTAGAGCTTTTAAACTTTAAGTCACCACCATCCTTAAATCTAAGTCTGTATATTAAAATATACTGTAATCCATAAGTGAAGGGAAAAGTAAGCTTTTTCGCAACTAAGAAAAGTTTAATAACTGTTGAAAAAATATATAAAAATATATTTTAAAGAATTACGGAAACCAGACATATTTTTTTCCTATACTATGGAAGTCAGTGGCTACCATCAACTGTTTCATTACCAATTCTTTCAAATATCTTCTTTTGTGATCAACAGAAGAAAGAAACTTTCTTTACAGGTTTGGAACAACATGAGGGTGAGTAAATGATGACAAAATTAAAACTATCCCTTTAAAGCTTTCAAATCAAATCAAATCAAATAAACGGCTTTTTAAATAGCCAATAGCTGTTATATCCCTAGTTTGTGTTTTATTAGGAAGATGGAACCACGTCGTTCTAGAGAACATTTTATTGTACAAAGTATTAAGATGAATCAACTGTAATGTTGGTCTGCTTGCCCAATATATATTATGTTAAAAGAAATAGATCTAAGTTTATTTTGTCAACTAAATGGAATAAAACCTTGTTTTGGTATCATGGCTTTTATTTCTACTAATTGTTTTCATCCTTTTTTATTCTGTATAAAGACATCATAACTCTGCATGAGTGGCTGTGAACATTCATGTCTGGAATTTGTGACCTAGCAGCAGAATTAATAGTTTTATGGACTCTGAGGCAGCAGGGAGCACTTTTATTATTTTACCCTGGTATTTTCAGCCTGGCAGGACACCTTATTGAGCCTGAATCATTTACTAAACAAAAATATATGAATATGTTTTTGTCTCACTTGAATTTTTCACCCAAAGCTGTCAAATCTATGAACATGCATATAAAAACATACACTCACGCCCTCCTGTCACACTGTTCTCCAAGTGTCAAAAGAAGAAAGAAGCAAGTCACAGCATACCAATTTTGAGGTAAAGCAGTTCCCAGTTAAAGGTTAAATTTAAATCTTCTGTCTATACAGCTTGACAGAAAAATGACCATGTGTCACTATCAGCATCCATCTTCACTGTTGTTCTGCTCAAAACTAAAAGTGTACAGACACAAAATCGATCAAAGTTTCACACATCCTAGGTGTATATGGCTTTCTTCTTTCAGCCTAACACAACCGGAGTTAAATTAAATAATATCCTGGCTCTTCCCAGCTTTTTAATGGCATTGAAAAGGGCCTGAGTGCTTAAGTCTCTGAAGCTCAAAGCGCATCCATCCATCATAAAAGTAATCATACGACTCCACTGGGTTAATAAATGCCTTCTGAAGCAAAGCGATGCGTTTTTACAGACGTAGCTCCTCTTCTCTTATATCAAAATTTAGTTTTAAATATGGACATTTTTCTTACAAAAACCCTTCGCTTAGCTTAGGGGGCATTTATTAACCGACTGGATTACTTTTATGATGGATCAATGCGCTTTTTGGAGCTTCAAAAACTCGGACAAATGGACACTATTCAATGACATTACAAAGCTGGGAATAGCCAGGATTTTATTTAATATAACTCCGGTTGTGTTCGGTTAAAAGAAGAAAGCCATATACAGCTAGGATGGCTTGAGGGTGAGTAAATTATGGGATAATTTTCATTTTTGGGTGAACTATTCCTTTAAAATCTGTTCTTTTTGTTCCATCGAATCTAGTCATTACCGCTACATGGCAGCAGTAGTTGTTTCTCTTCCAATCTCCCATTTCAGTTCTTCTCTTTGTTAGCATCAAATTAACAGTCTCAATTTAATGCTGGTTGTGCCAAACCAAATTCCTGACAGGTTTCAATGGCCTGAAGCCCACTTCATGCTGTGAGGGTAATGAACAGATGTCCAAAATGCTGGGCAGCCCCTGTCAGAAACATAAATGATTAATATGTAAATTCAAATGCCTTTTAACTATTTTTTTTTTAAAGCGCTTCTCTTGATGATAAGACTTTCTTCTTTCAGGCGAATACAATATGAGTTTTATAAAAAAAAAAATGTCCTGGCATTCCAAGCTTTATAATGGTAGTGAATGGCGGTCCTGATTTTGAAGTCCAAAAAGTGCATATCCATCATAAAATCGCAATAGGCCTATAGACTAGTGTGTGAATATTAAACCGCAAAAAGACTATTTAAATATTTAATATTTTAAATCCTACATGTTCTGTGAGAATGAATGGTGCAGACAACACGCAGTTTCATTTACTTCTCTCTCTCGCTCTCTCTCTCTAACACACACACACACACACGCTGAAGCACGTGTGATGCTCGAGCTGTTTTTTTTTTGTTTTTTTTTGCCTATATGAGGAACCGAATGCATGAACTTTATCTCCAGACTCTAGATCCGCTCTGAAAGTCACTTCGTGAGCATTTAACCGCTTCATTTGAGAAAAACTATCGTCGTGTCATAAACACAGAAACTCAAAGGTCTTCACGGCAACCCGTCAAAATAAAAGTTCGGTTTAACTTGACAGAAATATATTACTGTTGTACAGTAGAATTTAGATACATCTCAATTTAGCAATAATGATACTAACACTAATACAAATAAATTGTGATCAAAACTTTATTTAAGGAATAATCAAATATTTTCTTCCATGTTTTAATTTTAACAGTAAAGCTCATAGGCCTATTTCACAAAAATGGCCGCCGAGACCGGAAGTAGGGTAAACTCTTTTCCGGTGAAAGCGCTAGCAGTTACAGTCGGAAGACAAATGCGGAGACTAAAAGCGGTTGCTTACCTTTTTATGTTTCAACCCAAAGAAGAAACAACCCTATTGATCACTTCACAGCTTTTCGTGTTTTGCGGGTTTTCATGGAACAACCGGGGAGAAGTTAAATCACGCCAGGCGCGTGTGAAGGAGGAAGCAGATGTTGAAATGGGGTGTTGATGCCGGTTCGGGACTGATGCCCTGACAAAACATGTTTATATGGCACTTGATTGGTACCCGATTTGCACGTCATGCACTTTTATTTATTATTATTACCTGTTGGCAAATTAAAATTGTTTGTAGAAGTTGTTTTCTGTAACTTTCTTTCCTTTTTACCTGGGTGCGCTATGCCAGGCCTGCTGTTTACTTGTGCAAGCAAGGGCAGCTGGGACATTTATTAAACGTGTAAAATACTTTCCAAACCGTTACATATAGTCTTATAAATAAAGACGTTTGTGGTTTAAAAAATTAAACATATTGGAATCATTTTTAAAGTTGTTTGAACACGGAGCAGTTTTTCCCGTGAGTGGGACTGGAAAACCCGGAGTGGATCTGGAGCGGAGTGATAATAGAGCGCTTCTGTGCAGAGAGGAACGGGCTTTTGCTCCAGTCCAGGCTTTGATCACATCTCCCTAAGCGGGTGAACACCTCGTCCTTCCGACCCATTCGAACTAAAATTAAGACATTTATTACACTATTTGAGTAATATAAGCATATTTACGGCCTTAAAATAATGAAAAGGGTGATTTAAGACATAAGGACAGGGGGAAACCTGATATTAACGGAAGTCCGTCGTAGCGACGGATAACTTTAATCCCTGTATATATTTTTTAGTGTATTACTGAATATAAAATTACATTATATATTAGTAAATATATTCTCACATTTTTAAATATATGAAAATGACTTGTTTCTATGCAAAAAGTGACTTGAATGACATGTTTCATTCAATATATTGTAATATATTATCACCATATATTATTCTGTATGTTTTCAAATATACTGTTAAACCATTTCATATATTGATCATTCATATAGGGAATATTTTCTTTTCATAAGGGGACCCCAGACAGTTAAATATTATTTTGTAACATGATTTTTTTTTAAACATGTAAAATCAATCACTTCATTTATGTTTTTAGTCTAAATATTTTTTTATTTGCCTTAATTTCATTATTAGACATACTAGCAACGTTAGGTCAAATTCACTGTAAAGATGTACAATTCTTAGTTTCATTCATGGTAACATGAAAAAGGAGCCATAATCTAGTAGTGGAAGATTGCTGCAATCTCCTGGACTAACACTTAATAACATGATTTTTTTTTTAACAAAAGCCACTAGATTTAACTCATAGCCTACAATCAGACATCATTTCAATTTATTTATTTATTGTTTTTCGATATATTAACGTTAAATGTGAGCTTAGTCATCAAGTGTCATGCCAAAAATGAATGGAACTTTTTTTATGTAAGCACTAAGCAAACGTCAAGAATTTGTCCAATTTCGATCTTTTCACAACTCCCTGAAAACTATCAACAAAACGGACAACATCTGATATTCTTACTTTTGTCAGATAACCAGGGCTTGACATTAACACCCGCCAACCCGCCAAATGCGGGTGGATTTTGCTCGTGGCGGGTAACACAGTCACTTCAACTAGCCACTTTGGCGGGTTGAATAATTGTAGTCTTTTCAAAAGGCATCTGAAGCGCACTGGCTGCGTGGCGTGCGCGTCTCAGCTGCGTGGTGTGTCCGTTTTTATTTCGGCTCCCATGTTAACAGGTTAGAACTTGCACACTGCCTGCGTGACGCGCGTCTCGAGCCGCGCCGAAAACGCGTGCATGCTAGAAAAAAAACCGACGCCTATTTCTCACGCAACACGCAAGCCTGTTGGAAAAGTTTCCAGGCTAAATAGAATAGGAAAATATGTCATGTTGACACGAACACATATTAATAAATGGCATTTTTATGTTTGAAAGTCCATAGGTTTTGGCAAATGCAGATATAATTTTAAAAAAAATCAAATATTGCACCTGTCAATACAGAACGAAATATTCTTATAGCCTATTTTGCCGTCTATGCTGCAACGCCCGAATCCCGAGATAGCCCTCCATGTACGTTACCAGCAGACACCAGTCAGACACCAGTCAGACACGTTTCTGCTGTGCAAAGACACAGAAAACGCAACTTGTAACAACGAATTTCCCATCGGGGCTCAATAAAGTAATTCTGATTCTGATATTTAAACAGACAGTGTTTCTAATGCTAAAGGTTTTTTCAGTTTAGTTTTTTATATTTTTTTATTAATCTTCTACATCCATGCACCACTTTTATTATGCAATAAGAAGCTATGTCTTCATCTTAATACATGGTTTTATAGGAGCTTTAAAGGAGCTTTACACACAACCTTATCAGAGCTAATGATAATGACCTGTATTGTTATACCTAGTCTTGATTTGCGTGTGTACAGTGGTTTTACATTTAAAAGGGTTGTAAATCTAGTTCAAGTAAATTTTAGCACGCCATAGTCAACTTTAATCAGGTAATTTCACAACAACAAAAATGTGGCTAGTAAAAATGCTGTGTGGCTAGTAACTTTGGAAAACCACTAGCCACATTGGCTAGTGAGCAAAAAAGTTAATGTCAAGCCCTGCAGATAACGTTATATGAATGACTGGGAGAGAAAACAAGCTGTTCAAAGTCCATTTTGAAAATGAATGGCGATTCGGGCGGGCGGCGCGACCAGAAGTCTTTTTGCCGTCTGTGTCTGGCGTGATTTAACGTCTCCCCAGTTGTTCCATGAAAACCCGTAAGACACGGAAAGCTGTGAAGTGATAAATAGGGTTGTTTCTTCTTTGGGTTGACATAAACACCATAAAAAAAGGTAAGCAACAGGACTAAACCGCTTATAGTTTCCGCATTTGTCCTCCGACTGTAACTGCTAGCGCTTTCACCGGAAAAGAGTTTACCCTACTTCCGGTCTCGGGGGCCATCTTGTGAAATAGGCCTATTGTCCAGCACGTTGTTTGAAAAAAAGTTTGTTTGATTTCATGATTAAAAGAAATGTAATTAATGTTTTATGTCTTCAGTTGATTACCAGAATAAAAGTTTATAATAAAAGTTTCATGATTTTAATTAATTAGACATGATTTTTGATTACTAAAAAATTTTACACCATGTATCCATAACACGCCCGCTCCGCAACATTAGTTTCGGGGAAAACACTGTTCCTCTTTTGGTGCAAGTCGACTTAGGCCGTATGCCGGAAGCTAGTTATTTTAGTTTATAAAGTTGTAAATATGGATATTTTTCTTACACAAACGCAAAGCTTCACTTTAGAAGGCCTTTATTAATCCCCTGGAGCCGTGTGGGGCACTTTTTTTATGATGGATAGATGCACTTTTTTGGACTTCAAAATCAGGACCATCATTCACTACCATTATAAAGCTTGGAAAAGCAATGTTTTTTTGTTTGTTTTTTAATCACTCTGATTGTGTTCGTCTGAAAGAAGATAGTCATATCTGGCTTGATGGCTTAAGGGAAGATAGTCATATCTGGCTTAAGGGTGAGTAAATCATGGGATGATTTTCATTTTTGGGTGAACTATAAATTAGTCAAAATCAATACTACAAGGTTAATGATTTCATCAGCAGGTGGGAATCACATACGCTTGGCCACTGGCTCAGTAACATTGCCTCTAAGCAAGTGGAAAACGTGCTGATTTAATAATGAATAATAATAATAATAATGAATTTGCACTCAGCAATAATGAAAATGATAAATAGTGAATATGTAGCTATTTTTCTTGTGAAATTTTTTTCGCAGAGCACTGTTTGACCATATGGCATGTAAACAATACTAGTATTAAATTCAGTTCTAATAGTCCAAACAACATTTAATCTGCTGTCTACTGCACTTAAAAAGTTTAGCTCAAAGAATTGGTGCTTTTGTCTGAGATGTCACGTTAGGGTTTAAACTTTTACAGGTCATCAAAATTTGGTTGGGTAATTAATGCTTTTCGTGCTGTAAATTAGGCAACATTTTAGTTCTACACACTGCCCGAGGATGCTGATTTCTGAGTTGGGATAGGGGGAGGTGCCGAATCACCAGGACCCCATTCACTTGTCCCAGATCTCATGCTGTCCTGCAGGACACAGCTAAACAAAACAAAGCAACACAAACAACACAGCACAACAACAACACACAACCCAAATGACACAAAACAACGCAAGATTAAACAAAACATAAAACAAAATGTTAACCAAAACAAAATATAACACAAAGCAACAGGACAGCAATCAAAATAAAACAAAACAACTTTAAATCAAAACAAAAAATTAAATCAAAACATCACAAAACTTTAACCAAAACAAAGCAAATAATAATAATAATAAAACAAAACAGTAGGCTATTAAACAAAACAAAATAACATCAGCAATAAGACAAAACAAAACAAAAACTTTTAGTTTAGAAACATAAACTGTCATATAGGCAATTACCAGCTTTGCATGGGTCCATGTAGTCAACTTCATCACTTTCTCCTGGACTTGTGTGATAGTTTGAATCCACTTTCAATGCGATCGTTAATAAAAGCCGAAGGCTGAACATAAGCAAACATGTCCACAGGGAATTCATGACGGGAATGAGTGCGGATGTGGACCTGGAGCCGGCGGAGAGCTGAGGGCTGCGGTGGGAGCTTGGAAGGACTTGGGAAAATGGGAGCTATACCGGGAAGGCGAGGCTTTGCTCTCTTCAATGCTTTTATTCTAGTCCAGTGATTCGCTCAAATACCCGGGCCTCGTGCCAACACCAAGCTTACAAACATCACAGATCGGAGGTCAGTGCACTCAAAGTGTCCTGAGCCCATCTGTGTGGGAGAAGAACGCGAACGCGCTCGCTCGTGCATTTCACTGAAGAGCAGAAGCAAAAATGCTTAAACACAAATCCGACGCTATTTTAACAAAGGATATTTCGTTATTTGAACTTATAGTGGCAATATCTTATATTTCTTTTGAATAGCAATCATAAAATATTCCTATATCTGAAATGTGTCCTGAAGAATCACACCTGTCTCTGTGACAGACTAGCAGGAAGAACCAGGTGAGCAGCAGCCCGCGTTTTTTTTTTTTTTTACCAATCAGAAACGCGTTCTGCGTGTGACTCATTTTGCGCTAAAATCTGTAAACAGCAGAGGGCGACCCACGCTTTATTAACCAATCAGAAACGCTATCTACATATTTTGCGCTTGTCTCCAAGCGGAGCGGCCCGCACTTCGATCTGTTAGCCAATGTTAAAAGAAGCCCATCAGAAATGCTCGAGGCAAAATTGTGAAATTTCAGAATATACAGAGATTTTTTTTAACCAGGAAAGTTATTTATTATTAATATAGTTACTTATTTATATTTAAGCAAAAACAGTCGTTTAAAAAAAAAAAGTTGTTTTAAGTCGACTATGGGCTTTTTTTGTAGCCAATATAAAAAGTGATCCAGGCACTGTTTTTGGAAAGTCACACCATATTCTATTTGTAATAGTTTTCTCTAAATATCTTGACAGATAATAATTTGGCAATGCTTTTGCGTTCTCTCACCAATGTTTTGCGTTGGTGAGAGACACTTTTTGTTCGCTTGCAAAATGTTTGCAAAGTTTCTTGAGGGAATGCAAAACCATTGACTTGTTATTTTTATACCGACTCTATCGGCTGCGGTTCTTAGCGTTCTTGTTAGCACACGCGCCTCCCACGCTGGTGACTCGTGTTCTAATCCCGCTCAAAACGGGTTGAGCGGGACTGGTTGCATTTGGTGCCGTGACCCGTAAACCTCACTCCCCTGGCCTCAAGAGGCACCTCCCACACCACAGCAACTCCGGTTCGAATCCCGCTCAGGAGTGCGTTTCCTGAAAACATCGTTATTCAACTATGATCGCAATTTCCATTGAACTCTATTGGTAACGATGGAACTTGCGACCATAGTTGGCTTTGGGAAACGCACCCCAGAGCGGGTTGAGTACGACCGGTTACACCCAGTTACAAGAATATATATGGATTTTAAAATGTTTTCAAAAGTTCATAATAACAATTACAGACATTTTTGTGAAACCTCTTTTTGTGAAAGCACATTTTGCAGATCAAGCTGGTTTAACTACATTACATTTGGCAAACCTGGTGCAGATGTATTATTACTGGCCCTGAGGTTATTTTTGAGCGCTTCTGTTTGGAACAACCCAAACAAAATGGCTACCACACTCTCAGAAAAAAAAGGTACAAAAGCAGTCACTGGGGGCAGTGCATATTAGTACCTCAAAGATACATAGTGGTACTAAAAGGTACATAGCAGAACCTTTTTAAAGGGTACCGTACCAGTGACAACTTTTGTCCCATTTTATTCAGAGAGTGCTGTTCCTTGGTCACCCTACTTGCAAGTGAATGTAAAACTTATGTGTTGGTAGCTCAATATAAGAGGCATTTAGCAGCACCAATCAATTAAAATATGAATTACATGCCAAAGAGAACCCATACAAAATGAATATAATATCTACTTAATTTACATATTCACAATTTAAAAAATTGACTCCAGTAAACATCTTTAGCGGTCACATTTTACACATTAAATGGCTTTATTTTCCAGTTAGGTGATGTCTATCTTCAGTTATGATTCCATGAACTTGTATAACAGTGTGTTACTCATGAATACATAGCAGCAAAATAATATGGTGCTTTCAGAGGCATTAACACTCCTAAATCTGGGCAGCAAGAACTGAGCTGACAGATAAGAATTCTGTTCATTACAGCATGTCACCACACATGAAATAACCTCACAATGTATGTAAAAACATAATTTCATTTTTTTTTCTTTCTCGGTGCTTCTGTATTTAGCTTTACATTTTTTTTTTTTTTTTTTTTTTATCATCCTGTTACACCATTAAGTAGACAAAAAAGTATGTTTATCCATTGACAGTTGTAACGACTGAGACAAATCAGACACAATTATTTGTTATATTTAACAAAAAATCTTTAAAACTCACACTGGGATCTATGGTGCCATCCCCCCCAACAAGGGCAAGAAGGGTTAAAAATGTGGTCACATGGGAAAACCAGAGGCCATAGAAAAAGACCCACAGCCCTTAAAACAGACTTTCCTGCATCAATTTATGGACGAACTGATCTATAAGTGAACATGCACCCCAGGACACTGTGTGAATGATTTACTGTCTTGTGTACTATTATGTCTTTGATACTACAGTATGTATTTTATGATACAACCAAAGGCCAATGTAACCCCACCTGTATCGTGTCTCCTATCTAATTAATCCTCATTTATTGACTCACACTTTAGTGTACATCACCTTCTCTTAGAATGCAGTATGTGTTTGTTATATCTATCTGAGTATAAATGGACACAAACGGCAAGGCCTGCTATGTCTAACTACATTTGAGATAGAGTCATAAATCCTCCCAACAGAGGAACTTTCCAACCCTGAAAGGTGGGATCTTTCTCAGGCTTTAAATGGTCTCTACACAAGCCCTTCCCTCTCTTGGCCTTCTCGGTACATTCGGGGTGCTGTCCTGTCCTGCGTGGCCTCAGCAGGCCCCAGGGCAGCAGGCCTTGACTCACAACCAGCCATGTGCTCATGGAGAGAGGGAACTTGCAACCAGAACAGAGTCGAACTAACCATGCAAGTTCATCATATCTTCTTCATCCTTCGGAGAAGAAAACGATTTCAACTTCAATGCTTGACACTCACGGAACCATCAAAACGTCACGAAATGCTTTCACTGCAAAGGCTATGCAAGTTCAGGTGCTCTGAAATTAATAAGCTGATGGTTCTTTTTCATGTTCAATGAATCTTTTCTGTAGCTTCATTTCATTTCCGGTTTCAATCTGTCACTTACCATCTACCCATGTACAGTATGTGTAATTGTTTGTATGTTAGTTATGTGTTTGTGACTTAGTTAATAAAACTTGTGCAATAATTCTTAAAATAATTCTTTCTTAGCATGTACAGCGTGTGAAACATAACCAAATCCATATGTATTTGGTTAAGTTTCACACGCTGTACATGCTAAGAAAGAATGATTTTTCTGTGACCATGAAAAATACCCTTTTCTTAGAATAAATGAATAATCAAAAGAGTTCGTTGGACGAACTGATAAATTGATTGTAATATTAATTTAGCTACATCAAGTTAATCCAATTAACTGACCCAAATATTCATAATTAATCATAACAAGTTATGAGTTATTATTAATATTTCCCCTTTGAGCTAACTCGTTACACAGCCATTCAAAAGTAGCTGTTTATTCTGAAATAATTTTTGCGAGCAACATACAAAAAGGTTGAAAAGTTCAGAATCACATGTTTGGGGAATGATTATCTATGAAGCAAACTGAGGAACTTGAGTCATTGAGAAGAATGGCAATGCTACAGCTTTCTCCTGGGATATAGAACTCCTCAATCCTTCACTCCATCCAGGCTCCTATAACTCTGTGGGAGGCTGTAATTACATTCATGTCCTCAAGGAGAATTCCCTGAATACCATTTGCCGCCCCTTGAGGCATTACAGCGAAGCAGCAATCTTTCCGCCTGTTGGTCACACCTCGGCTCCCGTTGGATACTTTGTTAGGGGGCGGGAGAGCAAAGTGCGTGTGACACATCTCCAACCCAACAGAGTTGCAGGAGCCGCAGGCCATAGCGGCCTGGAAGCCCCTCCGGAAGTTCTCGTTGAAGAAGCCGTAGATGATCGGATTAACCCCACTGTTGAAGAACGCCAGCCAATGAGCTACAGGAAAAAGATAGCTGCTCAAGAAGTCAATCTGTTGGCGGTCCAGATCCTGATAGTCCGTAAGAAGCATCAAAGTCCAAAGCGGCAGCCAGGACACCATGAAGAGAACGGCAACCATGATGAGCATCTTGATGACTTTCATCCTCCTCCTAGAGCGAGCTCGATTCTCACGTAGGTTGTTGGAGAGTTTGCCAGCGATGCAGCCGTACATGATGCTTATGAGACCCAGCGGGGCCAGATAAACATGGATGAAGATTACTGTGGTGTAAACTCGTCGCATGTCGGCTCTCGGCCAGTCCTCGAAACACACAAACAGTGGGTAGATCTGCTTGTCCTGCACCATGTAGATGTCATCCAGGTGAATGACGGTCAGGGTTGCAGCGGAAGGAAAGATGATGGCAAAAGCGAGCAGCCAAATGAAGATGATGGCGAAGAGTGCAGTGACCGGCCTCAGGCGGTGATGGAAAGGGTAAACAATCCCGGAAAACCTGTAAAGACACGTGTAATGCTTAAGTACTCAGTTAAAAACAGGGACATTATCATTAAGAAAAACTAGTTGTTAAAAAAACTGTATTCTGCTGATATTTTAGACATCAAGACATTTAAATGATCAAAGAATGCTTTTTGAGGTTGGCAATTTTCCAGCAGCAGTGTTTTGTAGTCCCTGAGTGTACTAGTTGCAAATGATACCCTAAAAGAACGACAGCCCTTCCCATCTCTCTGACACAAAAGCGTATTTATTGCACTACACTACTTTACCAAGAATCATTTTCTAATGAAACTGTTACATTACTATGGCAAGATTCACAGACAAGGCTTAGATTAAGCCAGAATTAGGCTTTAGTTTAATTATGACATCTAAGTAGCTTTTATAAACATGCCTTAGAAAAACACATTACTGGTGTGCATCTTGAGACAAAACAATGGCACTGACATATTTTAAGATATACCAGTGCAAGTTACTTTTAGTTAAAACAGCTCAATAATGCATTTTAGTCTTGGACTAGGTTTGTGCCTTTTCTTTATGTAAAATTATAAATCATTACCTATCAACTGCTATGGCAACCAGGGTGAAGACAGAAGCAGACACTGACATGCCCTGGACCAGGTTGCTCACAGTGCAGGTGACCTGGCCAAAAGGCCAACCTGTCGAGAAATCAAGGACAGGATTGTCAGGATTGATACTGATATGAAAGTCATGATATTGAATATGATGGTCACATTCTGATATTGATAATGATGGCAATGATGATGAAGATGAAGATGATGACCCACTGACCTGAGATGAGGTTGTCAATCAGTGTGGTGGGCACACAGAACACGCCGACCAGCAGATCACTAATGGCCAAGTTCAGGATGAAGAGATTAGTGACCGAACGCATGTGTCGGTTCCTGATGATCACCAGGCAGACAAGTCCGTTCCCCACGACACAGAGGAGCAGCACCAGCAGGTATGAGAGGATGTAGCTGACCGCCATCCCTGCCGAGTGGATGTAATATGGCAGGAGCGTGAAGTTGTCCGAGGTGAGGTTGTCAGCAGAGAGGTTCAGGGTCATTTTGTCTATTTTGGATCTTGTAAAGGGAAATGACACAATTCATTCTGATAAGATATTCATATTGGTTTGATCAAATACTGCAAAAAAAAAATACTGTCCACAATTTATTGATGATGAGATATCTAAATGATGAAAATGTCTCAACCACAGCACAAAGTAGGCTACTTGTGGTGTGGTTGAGTTTATTAAAGTTCATTTACTTAAAAATGAACTTTAATAAATGAACTTTAAAAATGATAGATTTATATTAATTTATTAATAATATATATATATATTTTAATTAGTTTAGGTTTCAATAATTGCATAACAGATTCTTAAAACAATAGTAAATATTTTTTTTACTGTTGTGCATACGTGTTATTCAAAGTATAAACACGAGAGTTTAATCAGCTCAGCATCTATAGCCACAGAGTCTGACCATTTCAATTGCGTATTTTAAAAGTTTGAATGTCAACAAAAAAAGTCTTACAACATAGCATATCATAAGAAAGGATTATATCAGTCGAAAAGCGAATAGGACTGCTCACCTGTTGCGTGTGTGTGCCTGTGTTAAATCCACTCGTGTGATGAGCAGGTTGCTGTGTGTTGTGTGTTCTGGCTGCAATGCGCAACTCTCACTTCATCGTAAAGCGCAGTGAACTGGAAACATGCGCGCGACGTGACAGTAGATTCCTCTAGTGCGGTGACAGTACAGTTACATCATACAGTACAGTTAATCATGTAGGCTATTAGATGTTTTACCCGAGTGGATTATGAATTAATAAGTAGGCTACATGATTGTGTGTAGGCTAGCCTATACAGTTCGGCTATAAATTAACTTAAAGTTTCAGCTACAACTAATCAATTAAAATTTAACCACAACGATTCCGGTTAGTCTTTTAGTAGCCGTTTTGAGGAGATATTTGAAGGGGGAAAGGAATGCAAGTCTTCCTGCATTTACTGACTCCAGCAGTCTGTTTCCATGAGATGAAATATTTTCAGATTATTTAGCCTGATTCGATTATCAGGTGTTTGAATTTACTTAAAGGGATAGTCCCCCAAACCCTCGCCAAACCCTCGCCAAACCCCCCCCCCCCCCCATATTTTTTTTTTTTAAATCCTGTCATCATTTACTCACCCTCAAGTTGTTCCAACCATGAGTTTCTTTCTTCTGCTGAACACAAAATAAGATATTTTGAAGTAACCACACAGGGCCCATTGACTTGCAAAGTATTTTCTTTTTCCCATACAATGAAAGTCAATGGATGTTTTCCCGATGGAAGTCAACTGTTTGGTTGCCCATAATTCTTCAAAATATCTTCTTTTGTGTTCAGCAGAAGAAAGAAATCCATACAGGTTTGGAACAACTTGAGGGTGAGTAAATTACATCATTTTTTGGGTGAACTATCCCTTTGACTATTTTTACAAGCTACATAAATGCAGTTCAATAATTATTCGAAATATATTTTAAATAAAAGTAATAAAGAAAAAATGTGGTGCCATTTTTAATTTATACATTCGTTACACTGGCGCGCCGAATATCCCCCCACTACAACAAAAATAAAAGTCACCACACTGTGGCAGCAGAGAACAAACATACCCTCAACAAAAAGCCCATTCAGAGAAAGAGAGCTGAGAGCAACAAAGAAAAAGAGAGAGAGAGAGAGTCAGTGTAAAACTGTTTTGAACGTTTTTCCAAAAGTAACCATGTCACTCCCTCTTTGTATTGAAGATAAACCCCCATTTTCACAGAGATCCAGACACCACCAGACCAAATCAAATTATTTCATGAAGATTTCAATCCAACCCAAGTCACTGTCAACATAGGTCTCAGGGGCACGCTGAGGGCCAGCACTTCAACAAGCCTGAAACACATCTGTGGCAGCAGCACAGCAGTATTAGAGTTATTTGAGCGTGAGGGAGTGATTCAGGCTCCTCAGGATCTGCAGCTCCAGGACTCCAGACCTGCTCCAACCTGGATGGATCACAGGCAAAAGAGGCTGCAGAGTAAATCATCTCCACCAAAGTTGGATGTCTTGCCTTGAGGGTTTGCTGGGAAGTGCCATTGACTTGTGCAAGGCTGCTGTTATCAACCTGGAATAATGTCCATGGACTGGCGTGGAGGTGACAGGCTGCTCATAGGCTTGTTTGTGATGCTTATCCTGAGGCTCAGCTGCTGTGCTGGACAGAGCTATGAACGCTGGGAGGCTGGGTCCTCGTGCTATGGAGGGTTTGACCTCTATTTTGTGCTGGACAAGTGAGTGTTTCCATTTCCATAAGCTTTGAGAGTGTCTTTGTAATGGCACCTGAGAATCTGATGCTGTATGGATGTTAATTCAACATCCATGACAACCAAAGGTCAAGCAGGCAATCATAGTTATTATGTCTCTGAAGAGACACATCAGCAAGCATTTCAGAAGCATTAAGCATCATTACAGTCTCTCGCATTTTGATGCTGCGAATCATGACATTTTAGGTTTGAATGTGCCTATATATATGGCATAAACCTAAGGCCTTTAAAATGTCAAATTTACCTGGAAATAATATTCTGTGCAGCATATCGGAGACGTCTAAGAGGGTCAGCTCCTGTATAACCTCTGCAATTTTGAGGAAGCATGAAAACATATAGACATGGTCAAAAGCATATCATGTGCAGATAAAATCCTCAAACGCAGAATGGCACTGCAGTATAGCTGTTGTATTGTATTTCTAATAGCTTTGTGGATGCATAACCATTTACCCTAAAACAGTAACTATATGAGGACAACAACCCAGAAAGAGCTTTGCAAAGACATAAAAACAGCAGAAGATCTGAAGTGATTATTGAAAAGACACTATAAAAGTTTTTCCAAATTTATTGATGTTTGTGGGATATTTTGGTTGTAAAGGATCATTTTCCTTTACTGTAGCTCTCTTGACGGTTTGCCCTCGGTTTGTTTATGATGTTTATTATATTCAGTTTCAGTCTGAAGTCACTTTTTAGGGTCATTATTTAATGGGAAACCCTAGTAGATTGATGCAGGTGTCATGAGGTGAAGGTGAGTGGAGCGTTTAGGGCTGTTTGGGTTCCTCGTGTGCTGAACCTTTTCACCAGCAGGGCCAGATGTTCCAAAGCCTCAGAGCTGTCTTGAATCAGAGTTCGCATCTGAGCACAAATGATATGGAGATGAGAAAGGGACCGAGGGGAGGGAGAGACAGAGAAAGTATGCCATTGTTTAGTCATGCTTTTAACATTCTTCATTCAAAAGCAAAGATAAACTCAGAGAAAAGACATGTGAAAAACACACACCCTGTGATGAATATGGAGTGCATTAGGCAAATATAATATGCATGAAAATATTTGGATTTCTCTTTGGAGGCAGAATAATACAATGCCTTCATTGTGCAGGACAACAGCCCAGATTTTGGAAAAGTCTTTTCAGTGATGGTTATAGGTTCTTATATGATGAGGTCATAGCGAAGTATTGGCTTACACTGCAAGTTTCATTTTCCTGTTGGAACAGTGCAGATGCACAATGGCAATGCTGAAATGGCCTTGGGTTGAGTCTCAAAATGTATTTCTTGGACTAGGTCTTGGCTTATGGGCTCAGACAAGACCACAGTCAATTTTCAATGTATTAAATGTGATAATTACCTCAATCACGGATCGGCAAGTGGTTAAGCGTTTGAAATGTATTCCGAATTTTCTCTTTTTTAACTCATTAAAATGGACAGCCAGCTTTTTGGACCCTAACAGGATCTGGGCCTCAAAAGGTTCACACTCACTTTCCTCGTGTCGAAATGTTCCAAATTTCAAATAGTGTTTTAAAATAGAATTATGTTTTAAATAAAGTTTGCAGTAATAATAAAAAAAAACGAAATAAAACTAAATATTTAAATAAATAAAAAATATTTATTCTCTACATATCTCCTCTTCACTAATTTGCTTCCTAATCTAGATGTCTAATAAACCAGCCATTGTATATTACAAAAATTGTTGGCTCTTTTACAAATTGCTTTAGTACGTCATTTCGGATAAAAACAGCTGCTAAATGCATAAATGTACAGTAAATGTGGTCTTGGCCTGGATCTGCGTCTTGGCTTATGGTTTCAGACAAAACCGCAACTTATTTGCAAAGGTGATAGTGACCTCAACCACAGGTCAGTGAGGTATTGCAGAGAATTTGAAAAAGCAGTGTTTCATAATGAATACTACAATAATTTCAGTCTTTTTTTCAGTTCGCTAAAATGCTTGGCCTTGCATGGTTCTTGTCTTTGTCTGAATTTAAGCTTTGACAAGTTTAGTCTTGGGTCTTGAATGGTCTGGTATTGGCTCCAATTCCATATCTTCACACCAAAAAGATATATATATATAAACTATCGAAAAATAGAACAGTAAAAGAATTAGACAACAATAGACTGTCCACATTAAAAGAAATGTGCATCACCATCTGTTGAACTGATCAAGACTGAATTAGCAGCACTGGTGTGTTTGTGGGGGTGTGTGTGCGCAGAGGAAAGCTTATGCTGACTTTGGAAGGCTTCGACGTCGCTTACGTAAGCTTAGCATTCTTTTTTGATTTGTCTCCACCACAATTGCCCTGCCAGATGAGCTATTACACAAGCTGAGCATTAAAGAAGCCCACTTAACAAGAAGTTAGAGTCTAGATGCTCAGATATCATTATCTGTGTCAGACGCTTTTTAAAACTACTTTTTAAGACAGTTGGAAAGGGACATGCTGCCATGCAAATCTGTAATGAATATCGAGATAATCCTTAAATAGGATATCAGTAGTGTGTAATTTCAGGGGGAAATCTCCACCACTATATGACCATGCAGCCTAAATCCTTTAGTGGATTCAATCCATCATGTGAACTTTTAAACGTTTTCCAAAGAGTAGGGTGTTTCCAAAGTACTCTGGTCTTGCAATGCTCTCTGCCTCTGCAATATGTCACATTAACAAAATGATACCTAGAAGATTGCATACACTGACATTTGTATTTGCATTTGCCTTTGCAAGTGGTATTTGTCCAGGAAAAAAAGACAAAGCACACTTTTTTTAAAAAGCAAAACAGTTCAGAAAAGATTTTGTCTTTGAATAATAAAGAAAATATAAAATACTAAAAAAAAGAGGTGCTAACATCATGTCCAATAAAACCAAAACACAAGTAACGATATGAAGAAATTAGTTGTTTACAAAACTCCTGCAGTATTTATTAGCAGATGCCTCTTAGCTTGATATTTTATCTAATGAAATTCATTCGTTCATTTTAGTGTCGCTTAATGTCCATATATGTGTATGACCATTTTTTTATTTTTTTATGTTATTTTGTGCAATCTAATACTGAACCCTTAATGCATAACATCTTCTCAGGTCTGGAAGTGTACAGCACCACTGGAATGAGATCTACTACTTTGTTGATCACCTTGCACACAAGTTCATCAGGTGATTCCAGCAGAAACTCAGCATGCTGACTTTTATTATTTTTTTGTGATCTCATTACAACAATGTATTTATAAAAAATCCGGTGTGTAACCTAAAGTTTTAGGTAGTTGTCCTGTTAAAATTAAATTGTCAAAACACTGCACACTTTACTGTGGTGTGCAATTTGGAGTTGCCACTGTCCAAAAAATATAATATAAATAAAAGGCTGCAAAGCCAATTAAAGTGCTAAGGAATAATGACAGCTTGTATAATAGAAATGGCTATAATGGAACTCCTAGTAGACCCTATTAATGTCAGCTAGTCGGCAACGACAGCATGATGGTCTGGGAATAAACCAATTACATTTTCCTATTCTTCTCTGTCTGCAGCCCCCAGCTCCGAATGTCCTTTATAGTCTTTTCAACGGAGGGAAGGATCCTGATGAAACTTACAGAAGACAGGCAAGAGTTTATAACACTTGCTGTGCTTTCATACTGCCAACATCTGAAAAGCTTTTGACTTTGATATCTCTTTACTTGCTGTGAGTCTGTCAGCTTTATTTGTGTCGATCCAACAAATCAAGAAGAGCTGGCAGCATTCACATCCATGCTGGTCCAGGCTTTACGCTCTATGTTAATTAATATGAATTGTATCTCTCTTTTTAAGTGTTTATTTAAATAAAAAGCAGTAAGCTAATATTGCATGATGTATAAATACTTGAATAGAGTAAATTGCCATGAAAAACTCAAAATGCTACAAATCGTAATATTCAGGGATCAGATTCGTGCTGGGCTGGAGGAGCTTCAGCATGTCTTACCAGGTGGAGATACCTTCATGCACAAAGGTTTTCAGAGGGTAAGCGGATATTGTAAAATACACTAAAGTACAAATCAGAACAAATGCAGTTTATTAAAAAAATATTGTGTGGTTTTCTAGGCAAGCGAGCAGATCTACTATGGAACAGGTGACGGTACGTTACGAATCAAATTCCTCTGGTGACTGACTTGACTTTTTTTTCCTTTCTTTTTTTTCAGTAGCTAGGATAGGGGTAAGTCCTGACCATATAGTTGACACAAAATCTCACTTTTGATGAATGGCTATACGCTACTGTATCTTTAATTTTGTCATTTCAGCTGAATATTAACACTTGTGAGATTTAGTCAGTAGAAAGGTTAATTTATCTAAATGTGTGTCTCTAGAAAATAGTGAATTATGACATTGTATTATGTTAAATATCTAAGTTTTTGTGTCTACTTGTTAATGAGAGATTTGTGGACACGTTAATGTTTTTAAATTTGTGGAGTAAAAGTTATAGTTTTTTATTTTGATAAAAAATACCCTAAAATTAGACCCCAGGGGTAAGGGCGGGTGGGGGTTTGGTGGGGTAAAATGGCCTCTGAATAATTGTACATTTTGTTCAAATGTTTCTATTTATTTCCTATAATAACACATTGGCTGATGCATCATCATCCTTCACATGCTAAACTTGTATCTAAATAGGTTACAGTTTAAAAGTGAATGCACATAGTTCTTAAGAGCCGGGGCATCTTTCCCCATGTTACCTAGGCTAGCTATAACGTTACATTTTTAACGCCGTTACAACAACCTGAAAAGTTAAACTAAGCCGATGTTTAAATTTAGCACATTTACGAAGTAGCCTACAGTAATTTCACTTGGAATCGATGCAAGCAGGAATGTCGCTTGCAAAAAAAGCTGTTTCATACATTTCAAAATTTTTGAAAACTATAACTTTTACTCCACAAATTTAAAAACATCAGTGTCCTTTTTATCGCACCCCCTCCCATGTTGGAAACGCTGGTTAGTGGTTATAATCCTGCTCGTCACAGTGCGAGTAGAACCAGAGGGGTTAGCTATACACGAAATGTCACTAATGTGACCGCACCATGTTTAAAGATGTCATATTCGTTCTTTCGCCTGACGAGGTTTGTATCGGATGTACATCGAAAAATATAAGTAGTCTACTGTCATTATCATGTTATTATGTTTACACAAAGAAAGTTTAAAACTTGTTAAAGACAGATGACGGTTCTATAGACTATTATAGATTCTCTCTTTCTTTGTTAGGATACCGCACTGCGAGTGTCATCATTGCTCTGACAGATGGAGAATTGCGCGAGAATGAATTTGACTTGGCAGCCAGAGAGGTGAGACCTTACACCTTATAGATCCTGTTATCCTGCCATATTTTCCGTTCTTTCTCCCCCAACATGAAAAATGTATGTAACACCAACAGCCTATTTAGCTCTGACTTTACCCTTTAGGCAGCTGTTATAAAATAAACTGAACCTTGGACCTTCTTTCTCTCAGACAGTCTCTTTTAGCCTATTATCTAGATAATATTTGCATAGTTTGATATTTCACATGTGCTGGCTCTAATTGAATATGCAACCCAACACATCTTTTTGAACCCTGTCTTTGATACGATGAAATGGCAGGCCGGTCGCTCACGTCAGCTGGGAGCTTCTGTGTATTGTGTTGGAGTGAAGGACTTTAATGAAACCCAGGTAAGGTGACAAAATGATTTGCCCCTTCATTGTGAGCAGGTCACCACAATCTGTATTTTTCAGCAACTGATGTACAATGTAAGAACGAAAGAATAGAGAAGCATATTTTTCATGATTTCTCATTCGGTCACAGCTGGCAACAATAGCCGACAGCGAAGATCACGTCTTTCCTGTTAATGATGGCTTTGAAGCACTGCAAGGGGTCATTGATTCAGTGAGTGAATTGACTAAACTCAGTAACAGCTACTCTCACATCTTTCTTTTGATCATTTTATTGATGTAAATAGCTGTTCCAAAACCTTGTGAGCTGCCTATAGGCAGCATTTTATGTTATCAGATGTGCTCTTTTGAGACAAAAAGCATGGCGTCTTTTAGCCAAATTTGCATGTATCATTCACTGAAAAGGCAATTTGATAACGTGACTCAGTGAAAAAAAATCAACATTTATCTTTAAAAAAATAGTTCAATCTTATTCAAATCCAGCAACAAGTTTGGCCAACATATACAGTGCCATGTATTTTGATGCTAATTAGAGTATCTCATCGTTAGCTAATCAAAAAAACACTGGTTCTACTAGCTGGCCTCCGTCGGTACACATTGTACGATTTTGTCCCAGACGAAAGATCACCAAACGTGGCGATTCCTGTGGTCGTGGCTCCTAAACATTGGCGCTACGTCGTACAGTGTGAGAGGTTCTGCCATTGTCACGGTCTTGCGACCAAAGCTAGCCTGCGATAATTTTCTGACAGTGTCAGAAATTAAGCATGATCATCTCACAGTGTGTTTGCTGCTACGACCTGCATCTACTGACTAGCCAATAAAATTATCAACGTGACATGGCGCTAAAACTTAAAACTACCTCAAGCTCCATTTGCTAGATTAGCATGCCAAGCTGGCCTCTTTTCCCTAGCCATGACCGCGTCCATATTCTCCTCTTTTTTTTCAGCGCACATAAAAACAACAATTGCCGATTCATCTGGCTCTATTTGTTCACCACTAGCGCATGCTGATGACGTTTTATTCTTCTATACTAACTTGCATCGTAGCCTACGATTCAATATGTATCATCATTGTACAGTCTACATATACATGTCGTACCCAAGTTTATTAGATCCATGAATATAGTGTGATTTGTATTGATTTTATAGGATTGCCAAAATCGCACAGTCTGTAACAGGTATTAGACTCACCCCCCTAAACCTCACTCCCACCCGGGTCACGGCACCAATATAACCGCTCCGGTTCTACTCGCACCGTAACGAGCAGGATTCTAACCAGCGTTTCCAACATAGGATGGGGGGTGCGATAAAAAGGACACTAAAGAGCGCGGCCTCTAACGTCAGTTGCTAGTATGCCTCTTGAGGCCAAGCGAGTGAGGTTTACTTAAACAGCTCTTATTAGCTGGCCTCCATTACACTCAAGATAAACTCTATTGAAATCAATTGTGAGTTGACGCATATTAGCTGCCCGTGTAGAGCACTACAATCAGTCATTTATGAGTTTTCATGAGTTAAGGCACGGGTATACTTCATGTTCTGCTCCATCTCGTGCACAGTTGAGCGAGCCTTTCAAAGTACACTCCTTTGGCCTTGAAGTCTAGTCACTCACATATGCGCTGTTGTACGCGCACCATCCGCAGGGCCACAAAATAATTGGCCTGCACGTGGAAAGACCCTCCTGATGACTAAAATTAAGTCACACGGACAGTGCGCAGTGCTTTAGAATGGTGCATACTGTATGCACTAGAGAGAAAGCCAGCTCACTAGGTTTGGGCACAGAGCCTTTATATCACACAAGGAAAACTTACAGTAAAAATTGGTGGATGTCTCTACAATAAATTGACTATGACATGCAAAACATTCAAACATAAATTCATAAATTTTTTCTTGCCTCAGATTCTGAAGAGATCCTGTATAGAGATCCTCGCCGTGGAGCCCTCGAGTATTTGTGCAGGAGGTAAACATACGTCAGGCCTGAAGCAAAGACCTAGTTCAGACAGGCAACAAATTTTTTTCTTTTCTTTTTTTTTACATATACAACTGTAAAACACCACATGAAATCTGAACTTTTATATGAACTTATATATCGGATTGCAGGGGGGGTTTTTTCTGTTCGGGACACATGTATATAACATCAAACGCAATGTGTTTCCTCCCTCCCAGAATCCTTTGAGGTGGTGGTTCAAGGGAACGGATTCCTTCACGCCCGCGATGTGAGCAGAATCCTTTGCAGCTTCCGTATCAACAACACCCTCACCGTGAGTAAGTGAAAAACAGCACAGACGGATTCCTGTTCCTTGCATTGCTAGCTGTGAGCTGCTGAATTATTAATAGGCCAACCTGTGTTAGCATTAGCTGCTAACCCAAATGATCTCCTCAGTTGATAAAGAACAAAAGTGATAGTTGATAAATGACTGAAACTTTTATTCATCCAGGCCAAGGTCAACTCACCAGAGGAAATCGAAAAATAAGCATTGTCTTCATGCATGTGGCAATGCAGACAGCTTTGTTTTTGTCTTTTGTAATGATAAAGAAGCCAATTGAATCCAAATGTCAGTATGGCTGCCGTGTTTTCTGCAATGGGCTCGAGAAAGGTTGGCCGCAACACTTGTAAATCACAAGACTTTCCTTGAACGCAAACCACATGTGCAACAAACACACATCTACACATGATTAAAAGACACACTATGGAAAATATTACCAGGACTTTTGGTTCAGGATATTAGATTTGTATATGTATTGGTTTGATTAGCATGTGTAGAATGTGTTAGACATATAGGTGAACAAATTGAATTTATTTTAGGGTATGTCGTAAATTATACTCCCCATCGTATGGCTCTTGCATAACTGTTACATTTGGTAACTAATAAAATGGCTCAACGCACAGCGCCTGGAGCGCTGGATTTATCTTGGAAGTGAATGGCTAGAAATTGGTCTGCTGCGGTGTTGATGTCTTAATGATTTCTGAGCTCTGAGCTTCTATCCTTCTCTCTCAGCTGCTGGTTTACTTAAAGAATATCAGATGGCACAGGGGAATGCAGGGCCCATCTCACCAGTGCGATTCTCGGCCAGGGTAAATGAGGCTTTGGAGTCAAACATTTTCCAGTTTCTCATTTTTCATGTGGAAAATGACAGGAGGATGAAAAATTCTGCCCTTCAGTTGTAGGCTGAACCTGAATGGTAAAGAAATGCAATGCAGCTTCAGTGTTTTTCTTCTGAAAATAATTATAAGTGCGGTAATTGCTAAGGCAAGCATCTCCATCACTTATACGTAGGGTTAGGGGCTTTTCAAAGGTCCTCAAATAACTTGTCTTGCACTGTTTGTGCTATATAGGCATGAATAATACCTCAAAGCATGCCGTTTATTGAGAAGAGGTGTGCTATTACGAGAAAATGAGCAAAACAACCCAATAGACTTACAAATTAACAGGGATTTGAGTCATATCTACAGAAGAAAATATCATAGAGACTTGAGTGTGGACACTTCTGACTTGAGACAGGGAGTCACCACCTAGCGATCACCCAAAACTGCCTAGAAACTACATAGTAACACCCTGGCAACCAACCAGATCACTGTATCATCTTGGTGTTGAGTTCTACATTAAGCACTGGAATTATGCTCCAAACAAATAAAAATCTATTTTATTATGGATTTGTTTATTAAAAACTTAATATTGGAAACTACAATGACATTCATAAGTTTGGGGTTGGTAAGATTTTTTTGTAATGTTTTTTAAATAAGTCTCTTATGCTCACCAAGACTGCATTTATTTGTAAAACAGTGACTGGTGATATATTATTCAAAATTAAAAAAAATAGCTGTTTTCTATTTTTATCAAGTCTTCAGTGTCCCCTAAAGGAACATGGTTGTGGAAAAATATGGGTTGTTGAAAAAAAAACATTGGTAACACTTTACAATACGGGTGCACTAATATGCATTAATTCATGTTTAACTAATGCATAGATAATCATGAGTTAATGTATGATTCATGAAGAACTAAACCATTAATTAATGATTACTGCATCAGCAACTAATAAAGAGTCTATATGATTAATAGATTAAGTAATACATGAATTGCTATTAATTCAATGTGTCATTGTGTATTAATTCCTTAATAACATATGTTATTAACTAATAGTGTAAATTAATGTGTTAATTACCACAATTAGTCAAAGCTATGCACTTCAACTTCCAGTTGTCTGCTTTAATTAATCATTAGCTAATGATTTGCAAAGGTATCATTATGTTATGACTTTACTTGTTGAGGCACATCGTTATTAACTAGTCATTTAGTAATTGTAGTAATTTACACATGAATTTGCACTAACAATAAAGTAATTAATCATGTATTATTGCATATTAGTGTACCTGTATTATCTGGAAGTTGAAATACAAGGCTTTGGCTCATTCTGGTAATTAACATATTAATTAACACTATTAGTTAAAACAATGAGTTATTAGGGAATTAATTCACAATTACATATTTAATTAATAACAATTCATGTATGAACTAATACATTAACCATACAGACTCTTAATTAGTTCCTAATGTGGTAATCAATAATGAATAGCTTAGATAATCATTAGTTACACATTAATTCTGTATTATCTGTGCATTAGTTAAGCATGAATTAATGCTTATTAGTGCACCCGTATTGTAAAGTGTTACCAAAACATTTAGTAACATTATAAATGTCTTTACTGAAGCTTTTGATATATGTAATGCATCCTTGCTCAATTAAAGTCTTCATTTCTTTAAATAAAAAAGGAATCTTACTGACCCCAAACCTTTGAACGGTATGAAACTATTTTTGCAAGGGTGGTTCAGATTGGTTTATATGTTGAGCTGCTGTAAAATTATCCACAAATACATGGTCAAAAGAAACAGAATCACTGAAATCAACCCTAAGGGCACTTGCCAAGCTGCTTCTTGTCCTGTGTGTTATTCTCCAGTGAAGAGGCCTCTGGTAGTTGAAGACACGTACCTGCTCTGCCCAGCGCCTGTACTGAAGGAGGAGGGAACGTAAGTGTTGCTGGAAACTCTGTCTTCAGCTGAAGCAAATAAAGCTAGAATGGAAAGAGAAACACACAAGCCAAGAAACAAATTCAAACATAGGACAGAAAGACGCCCAGCTCTCTCAAAGGCATTCTTATTCCAGGCTTTTTAGTTTATGAAGCATTGTAAAACATCTTCATAATCTTATATGTAGCCTACTGTACAGTAAAAATCAAATTTAAACAATACATATAGTCATGTCTTAATTTACAGTCGAAACAGTAAAAGGAAGTCCCTGCATAACCCATCATAGTTGATTCTATTGTATAATTTTTTTTATATTTGTTATTTTCAGATTTTACATGATAATATACATTACCTAAAAATGCATCACAGTTTCCACAAAAATATTAAGCAGCAAATCAGCATATTAGAATGATTTCAGAAGGATCGGGTGACACTGAAGACAGCTGAAAATACAGCTTTGATCACAGGAATTAAATCACGTTTTAAAACATCTTCAAATAGAAGACACATTTCAAATTTTAATAATATTTCACAGAATTACGTATTTTACTGTAAGTGTAATATCATACAACTTTTTACCGATCCCAGGGGTAATACTTTATAATACATTTAGTACCTTTAGTAAACATTAACAAGCACTTTTTCATATTTCTAGCTATTTGAATATCTATTAACTAATGATCCGTTAAGCATTATATAATATTTATTAATGATTTATGAAGTTATTATAGTTTTACCACCCCAGGATTAAAAATGGTAGTGTATATGTCATTTAATACACTGTATACCCACATTACCTTTTTTTTTTTTTTTTTTTTGATTAAGAATGAAGTTTATTTACTTAATAATTTTAAGGCAACGTTTTCCTAATTTTTTTTTAAGTTAAGTCAACTGATCACTATTTACTGTATTTAAATATGAAAGCCAAATATTTCATAAAAGAGCTTTAAAAAAAGAAGAACAAAACAAGTCAGGTATTTGTGTCTCTCTTTTTCCTTCATAGGTCTGCCTCCCTCCATGTCAGTATGAACAACGGCCTGAGTTTTATCTCCAGCTCTGTGACCATCACGACCGTCAGCTGTGTGAGTACAGTAACCCTGCAGGGCAGCAGTGCCACGCCCACTACCACTGTTACACTGGGCAGAGCCACTCCCAGTACCACTACACTGGGCAGTTCCTCTAGCTCAGCTCCATCTTCAGTCTACCCTCTGAACACAGTCAGTATTCTGTCCTTCTTGCCCTCTCTAAAAACCAACGCTCCTCTGGTGGGGTGCCTTTCCAACAGTACGCTGGTAGACTGCGGCAGATTTGCTGCGAGACAGAGGCCTAAAAGCATGTGAATTGATTGAACACCATTGTTAAGGTGTTGAATGTGTGATCTCATGAAAACATGTCCACGTCACATTTCACCTGAAAACCAGAAGATAAATATATAGATATAAATAAATATGTATATATATATTTTGCATTGTAACATTGTTTTTTAATTTAATTCAGTTTTTTTTTTACTCTGAAAGGTGATTCTCATAATCTTATTACTAATACAGTGATTTTTAAAATCAGTTGAAATATTGAATTATCTAATAATTGAATGGTTTTTTTTTTTTTTGCATTAGTTAAAAGTTATGAAAATAATCAAGAAAATAATGTCACAGTGCAAAAAAAAAATCTTAACAGTCAGGAAATATGGTTAATTTTCATTTCCAATCAAAATATACATTCTTATTTCTTTTCTTTGATTTTGTGGTGAAATGTGACTGAAATGTTTTTTAAAGGTTTCGTGAGATACTATATTTAACTTCCAGGCATAGTCACTCACACAGAGATCCAGATACTCTTTTAAAAAAAGCTCCTTGCTTAAATTCCTATTAATATTCTCTCCCTAAACTCCATTACACCGCAAACTTTTAAGTGGAACCCCATCCAGAAGGGTTTGAGTGTGGCATGAGGAAGATTATTCAATGTTTATTTCCTTTGGACCATAAACCTCCCCTGGATCTGTGTTTCTGCTCTGTCCATCAGACCGACGGGACGTTCTTGGCCATAGCGCTGCTGATACTGCTGCTGATGATCGCTATGGCCATACTCTGGTGGTTTTGGCCCCTCTGTTGCACCGTGGTAAGTCTCGCACTGAAGCCCCTCATCTCAGCTTTCTTTTTCAGAAGTTACCCCAACCGGAGGCCAAAATCCAGTCATTACTGTGCTGAAAAGTGGGTTTCAAGCAGTTCTTGAGTCTATAATCTCTCTTCTGAAGTGCAAATGAATGTGAAATTTTGAGCCATGGAAAAAGTATCGCTAAGAAGTGAGATGGGATAAAAAGAAATAAGTTGGGGTTTTTTTAAATGACATTTTGCATTAAAATCTCATTTCCATTCCTTCAAAGATGATTCCTGTGACATGAAAGACTGTAAAAAAAAAAAAAAAAAAAGTTTCTTTTCATTTGCAACAGATCGTCCATGAGCCGCCGCCGCCACACGTGATGGACGACAGTTCGGTAAGAGATGCTTTCTTTTGGTTTTGCTTTTCTTCCATGTTTTTCAGAGTCCTGAATGATGTCAAGATCACATATTGCAGTCAGCAGTTGGGAGACCAGTGTGAAAAATCTGATTTTATGTCCATCTCCAGACCTGCACGTTTAGTAACTGTAGAGGGATAGTTCATCCAAAAACTAAATAATGAGGGTGTCATTATTTACACACCCTCGTGACGTTTTGAAAGCATGTACCTCTCTTGCTTCTGTGGAAATCAAAAAGGAAGTAATTTAGGAAAATATCCAGGCTGATAGTAACTGGAGCTGCTAAAGTGATAGTTCACCCATAAATGAAAATTCTGTCATAATTGACTCACCCTCAAGTTGATCCAAACCTGTATGAGTTTCTTTCTTCTGCTGAACAGAAAAGAAGATATTTTGAAGAATGTCAGTAACCAACAGTTGATGGGCCTCATTGACTTCTATAGTATACTATGGAAGTCATTAGGGCTAGTCATCTGAAGCAGGGTTATTATACTTAAACTAAATCTAAAACCATAAAAGAATAATTTGTCGCTTGAATAAAATAAACTTTAACTGAAATAACACTGGTCTGAAGCCATGTGATAGCTTTGTGTAAAACAGATAAGACATTGAAATTCTTCCCCTCTGCTGTAGCTCTCAAGGCACATTTCGAACAGCTCGAATTAGATTGGAGAGCCAAAACAGAGGGGTAGAATTCTAGCAAATAATCATTTTAATTGAATGTAATTTTCAATGCCATGCCTTGCTGTTTTGGTAGGAGCCACAGTGTATTCTCATCATGAAACCTTTTTCCAATCCAACAAGATTTCTTCAGGGGGGTTTGCTTGTGAGAAGACGCCAGCTGACATTTGTTCCAAACATTTGCTCAGCAAAGTTTTCACAGATGTGGTCCCGGGTGCCAAACTGATAATGACAAAAGACAGAAAGTGTCAGAAAATTATGTGATTTAAGGTCTCGAATTTTCAAAGAAAATTCACCCTGTAATGATGAATTTTAATGATTTCCCCCCTTTTGGACTAGGATAAATGTAAACATCTGGAGACGACATGACAAAGAGCAGTTCCACTGTTAAGGAATTTTTGTTGCCTACTACCTCTTCAAGTTTATGAATTTTTGAGAACAATTTAATTGTCCATAGCACATTTCAACCTGGACACGTTGTAAGTCTTCCTCTTTCCAAGTCTCAGATTTCTCCTTCAAAACAGGAAATTCCACAAGCTTAAAGCAGGTCTTGCAGTGTCTGAGGTAACAGTCTGCAGTGGAAGTATAAACTGATCCCTTATTCCTGCTCTCAGGGTCATCACTGCGACATTTAGATCTTTTTACCTCAGAAAGATCAACTGTGCTGTACTAGGGATGGGTCATGATGGTTGAAAACAATTCACACATATTAACTACTGTGTTCAAAAGTTTGGTGTCAGTATTTTTATTCTAAGATTTACTAAGAATGACGTTTATATTTAGCAAGGACGCGTTGAATTGATAGATGGTGAGATTGAATACATTTACAATGTTATAAAATATTTCGATTTCTAAAAACTCTGTTCTTTTGAACTCTGTTCATTAAAAAAAATCCTGGAAAAAAATTGGGTTTCCACAAAAATATTAACTGTTTTCAACTTTGATGACAATTTTTTGAGCAGCAAATCAGCATTTTTGAAGGATTTCTGAAGGATCATGTGAGTAATGATGCTGAAAATTCAGCTTCAATCACAGGAACAAATTACATTTTAAAATATATTCAAATAGAAGACTGTATTTTAAAAAAATCTTACTGACCCCAAACTTAACACATTTAAAAAAATAATTAAAATGTAACAATTTTATGATTTTTTAAAAAAATCTTTTTTCCAAACGCTTTGGTTCATCCATTAGTCAACAGTTCTCCCAAGACAGCAGAATTAAAATGGAATTTAAAAATTACATTTAAAAAATTGTTTTTTTATTATTTTTAATGTATCATTTTAAAAATGACACATTTTTCTTAAACCCTGAAGACAGTGTTTAAGATAAAGTTGTGGATCATTCCCAGATTGCAAAAGTTTCAGCAGAGGGTAATCTAGGGTAAAACTCAAAATAACAGTTCTTCATTAAAACGGTTGCAGTCCGACTGCAAGGGAACATATGGAAATTAAATTCTGTCTGATTTCTTATGAGCCAAGAAATTCAGATAGATGACAGGAAGGTATAGGCTGACATCATTTCCTGGGGTGCTTGGAAAGGATTATTTTTTCATGGTTTTGAACTCAAAGTGTATTTCAGCTCATGAGAATAAATAATTACTTTGTTCTTGTTGCGCCCTTGGCATAATCAAATCAAACAAAGGATGCATTCATTTGTAATTGGCTCTTCCAAACACTTCAAATGATCTCTTTAATGCTTAATAACTGGGTCAGTTTGGCTGGTTAGCGTAAGCCAGTCCGCCCCTGCTGCTAGATGAAGTAACTACCTATGCAAAAATCATCTTTTTCTATTATCCTTCACTGAATTTTTTTAAGTAATGGAAAATATTTCACTATATTCTTGTAGATGTTTTTAATTGCCAATGACAATTTTTAAGTTAGCATGGAATTAAAATCAACTATTTATTTACTATTTATTTTACACAGAGATGCATTTTCACAATCCAATCAATCAATCAATCAAGTTCTGCTCAACATTTCTCAATGAATAATTCGCGTCAATTTTTTAATGACAATGTCTTTCTCTAAAGGATGAAGAGGATGAAGGCTACCCAAAGAAGAAGTGGCCAACAGTGGATGCTTCGTACTACGGTGGGAGAGGAGTTGGTGGCATCAAAAGGATGGAAGTAAGTCAAGGGTGTTTGGAAAGAAAAGAACAGCTTGCATTCGCTCCGGTCCACTGCAGTGATACAAATGTGTGTCTCCGTCACATTTCCAGGTGCGCTGGGGAGATAAGGGATCCACTGATGAAGGAGCCAAACTGGAGAAGGCCAAGAATGCGCGGGTGAAAATGCCCGAGCAAGAGTTTGAGTTTCCCACCACACGGACCCTAAACAACGGCATGCGAAAACCAATCTCCCCTCAGAAGTGGTACTCCCCTATCAAGGTAGATCTGTTTAAGCCAAAGGTTTTGTTTGTCCAATTAAAAGTAGGTTAAAGCCACACCTCTTCAAACCACCACGAGACGAGAGACAAAGTAAACTCTCAAAGTAGAAAATCACGGGTTGCCATCTCATAATCATAGTTACAACATGGCGTGAACGCAGCATAAGCTCGTTGTTTTGGTTCAGGAGGAACAGTAAAAGTTTTAGTTGTGGCGCTCGGTGACACGTCTGTCTATGCATAGCATGTAACGCGCTGATGATGCGTGATGAGGTATGGACAGGCAGGTACAACAGCGCATCATTGCATTCAGACCGAATGTAATGTTTGGACAACATTTTTTGGTCCTGAAACTTCCAGAGAATTGTACTGTACATGCTTTAATATTTAGACCACTATTATTGACTGCTATCAGGATGTGAAGAGAGTTTCAACCAGTATAACAAAAAGTGTTTATAAAAAAAAAGCCCTACCTTTAACTAAGCTATTAACTCAGTTAACATAATGAGATAACCAATAAAACAGTCTGAAAGCAATGAAAAAAATATTCTGAAAAAAAGGTAAAATAATGAAATATTTGATGACAGTTAATTGACAAATCTTTTTACAACAGTCAAACAAGTCTTCTAATAGATGTTATAGATATTTACAATTTATATGGATTTTTTCATCTATACATTATATTGTTAGTCATTTGATTGATCCATATTAATGTATTGTGACACATTAGATGGTGTTCCCCACCAGACGTTTTTACACCAACAGATGAATTAATTCACACAAAATGACAGTATATATTACAATTTTTATTTATTTTTTATATCAAATTTGAATTCTTGATTCACCATGTTTTGCTGGTGAACAGCATTTCATTGTTGGCCAACCAGTGACCAGAACCAAAGCAGCTCTAACCAGCTTGGACCAGAATTAAAATTCAGATTGGTCTAGGGATGGCATTGTAAAAGGTAAAAGGGATGGCATTGTAAAAAGGTACCTTTTACGAAGCCAAAATATTTTCAAATCCCAGTGTGTCCTCACAAAAACACATTAACCAACAGCTATGGATGACCCAGTACAGTGTCATGCTTACGTTATGCTCATCTGGTGGACAACAAATGTCGTGGCCAGGGTATGGAAGACTGGAAGGAGCTCAGAAGAAGCGGCGTGCTGCTGTGGTGGCCTCGGCCAGTCCGGGAAGCGGTTCATGCATTGTTTCATAATGTCTCTGTCAGATGGAAGGGGAGGGTTGATATAAACCAGACGCTGAACCGAGCTGACCCAAGAGAGATGAGCTTTGCAGAGCTGGTCCGTTTCCCAACAAAACAAACTCCTTTTCTCTTTCTCTTCCACCTTCTTTCCTCAGGATTATGTTGGGTGACAGTCCTCTCTGAGAGGCAGAGATTAAACACACATACAGGTTGAGAAAAATGAAGACAAACTTCAGTCTGTGTGATTCTGCACGAAATTCACTCTGTTTAGTCTCCATTGAAGCCCACAACTCTTCAAGAAGTGAAGTGAGATGTTATCCAGGACAGCGTGAGGCAAATGTTCCTAATAACTGTTTCTAAGAGAAAATTATTTACTGTACCTCAGGGAGTTATTGGTGGTTCCAACAGCCAATCCTCTATTGAGCTATATTAAAATATTTGGATGTTTTGTCATATTGGACACATTTGTGTACTAAAAAGCAAGTCTAATGATTTGTAGCTGACTTATAAATGGAAATCCATCCCAGCAATCTCGATGGAATTGCTACAAAATACAAAACAAAAATATGCCACATACAAATAAAATGAAGGAATCAGTTATCAATGTATAGATTATTTTTCATTTAAAAATGTTCACAGATGTTCACAAAATTCACAAATTAAAATGGTAGTTGAATGCAACAATAAATAATGAATAAAAACAAAATGATGCATAGAATTTTAATTATTTTCAAATGATTTCCAGTTGCTTTTCTTAATCAATTTGCATTATCCACTTGTTAATCAAGTAAAAAAAAATGCAACTGGACCCTTCATATGTGGAAACAAGACATGTTCCTTGGACACACACTGGCCACCAACAGAGGCAAATGTTGTTGAAGATTTATCAATTTAATTGTTTATTTATCAATTTGAAAAGTAACATTTTATTATTATTAAATACATTGATACTTGATTTATTTTTATTTGTTCAGCACTCCTATTCTTCAATATCTGAGAAAAGTAACAGGTAAAATTCAGTCTGCTACATCCTAAGCAGTTTATTTTACTGCCAAATAATGAGAAACTTTACATGTCATTGAGTTGAAAATACAAAGTGAAGAGTCAGTCAATTAGATGTTCCAATTAAATGTTCCAATTAAATGTTCCAATTATGTGCTCCAATGAGATGTTCCAATTAAATGTTCCAACGAGATGTTCCAATTAAATGTTCCAATCAGATGGTCCAATTAGATGTTCCAATCAGATGTCCCAATCAGATGTTCCAATTATATGTTCCAATTATGTGCTCCAATGAGATGTTCCAATTAGATGTTCCAATTTTAGGAACATACATTTCTTTCTCATTGCTGTTCCACTTATACAGAGGCATATTTCTTTGATTCAGACAGGAAATTAGAAACTTAGAAACTTGTCAATTAACACTGCATAAAATGAATGTAAATGAAGTACCTTGGTCCTCTGTCTCTTTGCACAGCTTTGGGTAGTCAGTTACAGATTACCCTGACAATCACTTTTGCATTGTTGATGAAGTGTGTTTTGCAGCTTGAATTTCCCAGCAGCACGCTCTGAAGTGTTGATCTCCTTGAACCGCTGTTGTGTTTGAATCTTTCAGGGGAAACTGGATGCCCTGTGGGTGTGGCTTAGGAGAGGATATGACCGTGTATCCGTGATGAGACCTCAACCTGGAGAGAAGGTGATAAATAGTGTCATGCATTACACAAATGCTCCATAAAATTGCAGATATTTTGTCAGTTTGTGGCTTACGCATATATACAGGTATATATATATATATATTTATATTAAGGGTGTAACAATATATCGTGTCACAATATATCGCAATACAAAAATGGATAGTGACAATATTTATTGTGTATAGTTCACCCAAAATGAAAATTACTGTGTGAGAAAAAAAATCAAGTTTTCAGACTTTTAGTGTCAGTACTACATTAAACTAATATACATAATGTTGAATATAATTTTTATAATAATACAATGGGGGAATATTTGTGGGTCCTGATAGTGCCAAATGTCTTATGTTACCAGTAAAAAGTGTCATACATTATTTTAAATATATCTAGTCAGTGACAGAGTGCAAGCATATTCGTCTAAAATAATTCTGTATTTTCAGCTTCAGACTCATCAATATTTTTATTCTGGTGTCACCATTGTCCTGTGCATTGGGTTACCAGCACCAAGTCCAAGCCTATTCATTTACACCCACAATGTAATATAAACTTAAGCATTTTAATCAACAGTACATTTTTTATCGTATCGTATCGTGAGTTCAGTATCGTGATATGTGTTGAGTCGTGACATGAGAGTATCGTTACACCCTACTCAGCTGTGCTTATTGCTTATGTCTATGACAAATTTTTTTAAGTTAGAAAAACACTACATTAAAAGGCAGAATCTGTTTCCACATAAGGAGGTAATAGTAGTTAATGCCCAGAAAAGCAGACCTCTGGGTTTTTCCAGAATCTATTCTTGTTAAAAATGTTGCAGGCAGATTGTGAGGATCACGTGAAAAACAATGTGAGGTATATTGAGGATGAAAGGAGGCCAGCTGTTAGCAATAAGTGCAGTCAGAAACAGAGGCAGAGTGAAAGTACTCAGGACTCTGGCATTGGTTCAGACCAATAGGACCAGTCTGCTAATATGCCTCCTGCCTAAAGGAATGCACCATAGTCTGCTTAAAGCATCAACCACCCTCCCCTTTCCCTCAGAGGAATGCACAGAGGGGAGTTTTAGGCTGTCTGATCTGCTGTGGTAAATAGAACAAGAACGCTGGACAGAAATCAAATGGCCTTTAAAATGAAAGCAATTGGCCTACATCTTCACAGGGAAAGAGCTTCTGTTGATACTTTAAAGCAATATTAAACTGCACTGAACCATATAACACAAAACTGGGCTAAATTCATCCCACGAATGCCACCTTTATTATTCAGAGCCATACTGTGGGAAAAAAACCCTGATTTCAAACAAGTAGAAACTCTTACACTCTTTTCCTTGATCTTTTAAAATAAGAGTTTGATGTACTAAAAACATGCTTTGGATAGTAATAGTGCAAAAACAGCTCATTCTGATGTTAGAAAACAGAAACTATTAATACGTATATGCTACCGTTCAAAAGTTTGTGGTTGGTAATATTTTTTTTTAATGTTTTTGAAAAGGCTCTTCTGCTCACCAAGGCTGCATTTATTTGATCAAAAATACAGTAAAAACACTAATATCGTGAAATATCATTACAATTTTCAAATGTAATTTATTCCTGTGATCAAAGCTGAATTTTCACCATCATTACTAGATGAAATAGAAATATTTTGTAACATTATAAATGTTTTACTGTGACTTTGGCTCAATTTAATGTGTCCTTGGGGAATCAAAGTATTCATTTCTTTAAAAAAAAAAAAACTACTGACTCTTTTTAGGTTTTCAGAAGCTTAGCACACCCATGTGTAAAAACATATAAAAGCTTATATAAATGGTTTTTTACATTTTTTACTCTCTAGGGTCGCTGTATGAAATTCACCCGTATGAAATCCTGCCCACCTCCTCGATACCCGCTTTACAACAACCCCTCGGGCCACATCTACAGCCTCCCCCATAGCAGATGCCCTCCTGTCCCACAGGGCACCCTGCCGCCCACCCCACGCTACTCCGCCCACTCTCCCACCTCCACCCTGCCCCCTTTGCCATCAACCCCACCCCCAACATCCATAACCCCTCCCCCTTACACACCACCTCCAACCAGAGCTCTTCCTTCTACCAGTCTGAGTATCAATGTGACTCTGCCTCCTTCTCCTCCCACACCACCCTCATCACCCAGCACCTTGACTCCGCCCCCTCAGGCAGCTCCGCCCGGGCAAGCCCCGCCCCCTTCTCCTCCCACACCACCCTCATCACCCAGCACCTTGACTCCGCCCCCTCAGGCAGCTCCGCCCGGGCGAGCCCCGCCCCCTTCTCCTCCCACACCACCCTCATCACCCAGCACCTTGACTCCGCCCCCTCAGGCAGCTCCGCCCGGGCGAGCCCCGCCCCCTTCTCGTCCACCTCCACGCCCAGGCCCCGAGGACCCACAGTTCTACCAGGACTGAGTAGATCCAAGAGATTTGCACAAGAAAAACTGCTGGTTATGCTGGTGGCAAAAATTGAGACCTACATTTTCCAGGCAGAGAAAGGAAGGAGCAGCACGATTATTCCAACTGGCAATGGCTGCAGATGGCAGTGACTTCATTCTGATTGGTTGACAAACATCCAAAGGTGTTCATTTTCTAAAACTGCACGTCAAAGTAGTTCTAGGTTTGTTAACTTTCAGAATCACCTTGCCATGTTCGTTTTTTGTTTCAAATGAACAGAACGCCAAAGAGAGTCAGAGCAAAAGAACCAGAAAGAGACACTGACGAAGCAAATCGGATACAAATGATAAACATTTGAATAACAATTTAAAAAAAATCCATGGAATGCATAGTTATTTGAACATCAACATGAGGTAATGGTGTCTTGAAACAGAATTTTTGATGATAGACCATTAAATAATTGACTATTCGGCAGTCTGTTGACAATTCTTTGGTAAAAAAGTAGCCATATTCCAATACCTACTGTCTTCATTGTTAGTAAAAATGAATCTGTAAATTACTCACATTGTCATCATTATTAACATCTTAATTCGTTTTTCAGATACATTAGAAAAGGTCGAACGAGAAGCATCAGTATTACAGATCATGTTCATGTTCAGCTTTGATGCCTTTTGAATAGGTCATCTGCAGATAAGACCTTCAAGTGACTGCAACAATGGAAGGGAACATTGACAAAAACTGAAACCCAGAAGAAAATGAACATGTTTGAGCCACACATTTCCAATTTCCAATGTTTGAGGAACAATGCAGGCTTTTATTTTGTATACATGAATGCTTTCCAAACAGCTGTGCTAAGAATAGATCAATATTCATGATTAAAAATTCATGAAAAAAACTAATTCTTTAATTTAAATGTTCTGTTGTTTGCCAGTGATGCATTTAAAGGGATAGTTCACTGAAAAGTGAAAATTCTGTCATCATTTACTCACCCTCAAGGATGAGTACTCACAAATGAAGGATGTCCGGGATACTCTTTTCCATGAATTTCGTATATTTCCCAGAATATTCTGCTAAAGAAAATCACACAAGTTTGAAACAGCGTGATAATGAGTAAACGATCACAGAATGTATAATTATTCTGCAAACTATTCATTCAAATATGGCAGAATCTTGCCGTTTGAACTATTCTTTCTTTTTTTTACTTAATGTTTTTTTTTTATTTCTCATGCTGGGTTGAAAGTTTGTGCTTGAGCTGTTGCAGATGTTCAGTGTGTGTCAGGCAATTATTTGTAAACGAAGAGCATGTTTTTTACACGCTTCAATTAAATGTTGGAATTTGTATTTCTGCGTCTTACATTTGGGTCAGTATCATTTATAAGGGCTATCAAGAATTTCAGCAAAATAGCATGTTTTGAATGGCTTTTGGGGAGTATAAAAAAAAAACATCCACACTGTTGATAAAGGAAACACTCAACTTGAGTCACATGTCCTTATGCAAATCAAATATCCAGAACTGGTTCTGAATCAGCTTTATGAACCGTGGTCAACTCATTCTTTGTAATGATTAGCAGCACACTTATGGATTATGGATTTATATTTGAATGCTACAGTACATTAGAGTGTTCCTGTACTACAGGAAATGTATAATTCATGTGCCTACTGTTGAGACAAGCCACTCAGATATAAAATATGAAGCATGGTTATTTGTAATTCTCGAAACTCAAGCTCCCTTTGAAGGCTCTATAAATCCAGCATAAAGTCAACCTGGAATTAAAATGAACCCTACTGAATTTTATGTTTTCCTAATTGTGCATGAATCATCAGTGTACGTTTTTCAAAATAAATAAATATTTAATTATTTCTGTTCACAATCGTTTTTCAAAAATTCATCTCTGGTCACTTACACTGCAGAGGCTTTTGAATATAAAGTTAATCAATAGCCGGCTATTTAGTTACTTTATGCTGCGTCTGCAATCTAATGCTGGTTAATGTCACACATGCAGGTTATAACAATAATTGCAAATACTGAACAATAGATCTGAAAAAGCAGCGTTACCACTGAAATATGTAGAGATGCTCTGGAGGGTGAACTTGACATCTAACCCCCATGCTCTGGTCCAAAAGTCCGGTCCATGTAAACACACATTCACATCATTCGCTCCACTCTGGAATGTAACGGCTGCTTCTTTCCATTGCATATCCTGTTTCAATCAGAGATGCCATAATACAGAAGCAAAATGGGTTGTGAATGCAGTTTCATGTTGACTTTACTGGGTTCTCCTCCCAGTAAATATGTTTTAAAAATGTAAAATTGCATTGGCATCTGCAAGTGGACTACATTTACAAACAGTCTCGCTCAATTTACAGAAAAATACACTTGCATTCTCTTACACGTCAGATAAATAGAGTTTGATGAAGCATTCAAGCAACGTGGCAGTGGTTTCTGGCTCTGTTGTGAATACCTTTTTTTTCTGTCACAAAGGCTTTGCAGTCCTGTTTGTTGATTTATTTTATGTGAGACAGTCTTCTCAGTCCTGTGGCTAATGACATCAGCTCTCAGCTTTCAAGAGCCAAGTGTAGTAAATACCTAAGAGGAGGATAAAGGATTTAATCTCATGCTGAAGTGTGGCAGACTGACCTGTCAAAATGACTTCTAGGCGGATTATAACAGCTGTAATTGATTCCTGGTCATACTCACCCTACTGAAAAGGTTGTAAACATTTCAAGAGGTTTGTAGCCACAACAGCAGAATAAAGGGATTCTGTTGGAGCTGTTTTCAGCCTCCCCACTGTTTTTTTTTTTTTTTTTTTACTGATGGCGTTTCTATTCAAGAACAACACATAAATACTTGCATTGAAAACAGGGCCTGAAACTTTTTGCCACCCCTGCCAACAGCCTGTGACTTTAGGAAATTTACCGGCCATAAATATGTTTTACCGGCCAATGACACAAGTTAAATAAACAGTGCTTTCCAGGCAGGTCTAACAATAGTTTTCAGGTACAGAAATTGAGTAAAGTAGGCTAATCAAATGTAAAATAACACTGCATAGTCTTCACTGTATAAATTAAACACAGATTGATCCTTATTAAAGTTCAAAAGTTATTCAGTCACGAGCAGTGAGTGATTTTTAACATTAAACGCAGACAGCGTCAGGAATATTAGGCTGCTGTCACTTTAAAACCGAATACACGGATCCAATGATACATTCTGTACATGCATTTTCTTTCTCAACTGTTCATTTAAGACGTAAATTATTTTATTTTTTACTATAGGATACTCACAGAGACGGGCATTTTTTTTTACATAATTTGGTGTGAATTTGTCTGATCGTGCACGAGAAGATTTTGAAAGAGAGCTCAATTTAGCATTTGCGTGCTGTCTGAGACTCGGCTTTCTGGGTGTTTGAACTTCCAACACAGCGCGCGAGTAATAAATTGAGTTCCCGTTCATATCTTCTTGTGTTTGAATATTTGAACTGGCAAGGAAGCTTACAATGACTGTTCAGAGCATCATTTATGTTTGTTCTCGATCATGTTCTCTATAGCATTATATTGTTAGAATTTATAAAAATATTACCAGTCGACAGCAAACTAACAATCGTTAGAGTTTAATATACTCGTCATGCCTATTTTTTTACTCGCATGTTGAACTTTCTATATGTTATTGTAACTTTATATATTATATGTAACTTTCTGTGTTATATGTGTTATATGTAACTTTCTATATTTTATTGTGGGCAATAAACATTGAAGAGGGACGCGAATCATATCTAAGAATCAGAATCGTATCAGAATGCTTGTTTGACTGGTAAAAACTACTCCAAACACATAAAAGCATGCATAACATCTTAGCAACCAAGAAAAATACTACTCTAATCTCCTTAGCAACATGCTAAAACACTCAGAACACCTTAGCAACCACACAGCAACACACTAACAAAAGAACTCTAAAATGACCAAAACTAAAATAAGAATCAGGCAAAATAGAAATATTTAATTTAATAAAGATTTCATTTTTAAAGAAAGAAAAACTAATAAAAATGACAAAAGCACATAACATTTCTAAAACTTAGACTAAAAATAAAATGAAAACTGAAAATATAAAAAATAACAGTAAATTCAAAATATGAATAAATAGAAGAAGAGTATATAAAATAATGTCAGCAATGTCCTGGCAAACAACCAAAACACCCCAACATTTTTTTGAAAATAGTAAAAATCTAGGTTTTAATTGAAGCTTGAGGGTCGTAAAAACAGATGTATTAATTATTATTATTGGAGTACTAATGATCAATGTTTGATTATTGCAGGATCCTGACTATAATAAATTGCTGTGACCTTTTAATTTTTGTCTTTAGACCATGACACACAGAGCTACATATAAAGCAGGACACAAAGCACGACTGGTTTTGAAAGGCGAGTGCGCGTGCAGGGTGGAAAATTCCACTCTTGTGTTGCTCACATTCACAAGGACAATTGGCCGCAAAACTAACCGGGAAACTATTAAAAGTGTTACGCGTCAGACAAGAAATGAGAAAGAAAAGGATTTTATTTCTTTTTGAATGCTAAATGTAGGCTACATAATAAAAGAAGAAATCAAATATTTGTATAAATCCTAAAAACAGAAGTCAAGGGAAGACAACGTTTTTCATTACAAATTAATGTTTCATTTGGTTTAAAAGGACTTTTCCAAGCTTGTGAAAACTCCTGTTTGATGCAACTCAATGCACTTGAAACTGAAGATACTTCTCTGAATCTACAAGAGAACAAAGGGATTCTTATCTTATATCTTTGGGTATTTGCACAACAATGATGTACTAAAACCGTAAAGGTTTTTACCTTGCGTTTCTCGTGTACAGATGACAACATTAAACGATCTCCGTTCACGCGGATCTGCGAAAATGACTACAGGCATTGCCAGGCCTGTAGTTGGCAATGTCACTTTGTAAAGAAACACTACACGCCTATAGACTGAAGCCGTAATACAAATGCACGTTTTTTTTTTAGTTTTTTTTTAGTTTACATAGATAAGGGAATTGGTTTCAAAAAACTTGATTTTTGAGTCCTGTTTTTAAAAGTTTTCTTTTTCAGGCCCCCAAAAACGTTTTTGTCATGTCAATTTTTTCAGTTTTTAGTTGAAAAAGGTGTCAGGC